TAGCTAAGTTCAAAGTAGGAAAACGGCCTTTGCCCTGGACATCACAGAGAAGACAAATCACAGTAAAATCACTGGAGTGCTTCAGATAAATCCTGAACTGTTGCTACACTAGCACTAATATTAGCAAACATCTATTGGGTGCCCAGGTTATAGTCTGTCTTACAAATAGAACCCTGGAGTAATAGAAGGTCAAGAGTATTATCTCCCTTTAAAAAAGAATATATTTAGGTAAGACAGCACTCATTTGTTTTATTTGTTTCAGATCACTCAGGCATTCCATGTTTAAATTTATTTATTTGTTAGAGGATAAAACACACCTGAATATATATCCCTGATCGTCAGAATTAAAAGACACTTTGACATACAGTTGATAAAATTCACAAGTCCTGTGTACACCATCAATGTCATTCTCTTTGTTCACGATAATAATAATGAGTATCACTGGATTTCTCTACACGTCATTTGTTTTGAATACTTTCCATAGGTTCCTTATATAAGTAATGCCCAAACACCCTCTGCAAGATTTGATTAAAGAATGCCTAAAAACCAATTTGAAAGTTTGGGTAATATCTGCCTCTCCACTACCATAATCTAATAGACTATAGCATTTCAATAATAAATAGTGCTATTTATGCAGCACTGAGAAAGCTGTGTTTACATGCATTACTTATTTCACCTGAACCCTTCTCATAATCAGAGATCCTCAGTTTCTCAGTTTACTGAGGGAGTCATGGCACACGTGACCCACTGGAATAAGGAAAGGGCAAAAGGCAACATAAACTACAGAAAGAAGACAACCGAAATCAGCTACTACTCATATTCATGGGTATAACATGACTTAAGTGGTCACCTAATAGAAGAAAGAGCATTTTCTGTGTGTGTTTGAAAAAAGCTAAGGAAGCTCTTTCAGAAAAATTTGCTCAGGAGCTCAAACTTTATAGCTATTACATATCTAAAAAGGCTTGGCTAGATAACGGACTGTGCTTTGGTGGAGAGAAGTCCAGTCATTTGGATGTAACATTACATCTTAAAACTTCAGAAATGTTTTTCTTTCTTTTGGCCTTACTTGGAATCTTAGTTCCCTGACCAAGGATTGAACCTGAGCCCCCTGTAGTGGAAGTGCAGAGTCCTAACCATTTGACCACCAGGGAATTCCCTGGAAACCTCTTTATTTTTTTTAAACAAGTGTTATTTATTTATTTTTGGCTGTGCTGGGTCTTTGTTGCTGCATGGTTTTCTCCAGCTGCAGCAATTGTGGGTTACTCTCTAGCTGCGGTGCGTGGGTTTCTCACTGCAGTGACTTCTCTTGTTGTTGAGCATGGGTTCCAGGGGCTCACAGGCTTCAGGAGTTGCAGCACGTGGGCTTAGCAGTTGTGGCTCCGGGGCTCTAGAGCACAGGCTCAATAGTTCGGTGCACAGTCATATGGCACGGTCCCAGCTCAGGGACTGAACTTGCGGCAGGCAAATTCTTTACCACTGAGCCACTGGCAGGTGGATTCTTTACCAATGAGCCACTAGGGAAGCCTGAAACTTCTTCTTAAATTAAAGTTCTTATTTTGACATAATTGTAGGTTAACATGTGGTTTGTAAGAAGTAATACAGAACCACCCAGGGCCCCCTTTACCCAGTTTTCACCGGTGGTTTAACATCTTACAAAACCATGATTGGTATTGAGACAATCAAGATACAGGAGAGTGTTTGAAAATTTTTAAACAATTTGGTCACTGTAATAATCAGCCCCACAATTCAGGAACATTCCTTTAAATTCCAGAGTTGCTAAGGTCTTATGAGATATGCCATGGGACTGGAAGGTGCCAGCATGAAGTGCACAGGAATCTGAGGGGCAGCTTGCTGTGCTCCCTGGAGTGTTTGCTCACTTAAAAAAATTTTTTTCCCAGGAATTCTAGGCAATTGACAACCAGCTGCAAGTTGTCGCGAAGGGCATAAGCTTTGAAGGCAGAGCTGAAAGTGATTTCACCACAACGCACAGCAGCTCACAAATCACCTTGCTGAGACGTTTCCAAGCCAAAGAGTTATCAGAGGCTCTAATTTTTCCACATCTACTTCATTTATTCAGGAGCCTGGCGGGCTACAGTACACGGGGTTGCAAAGAGTCAGCCATGACTGAGCACGCACACATTTATTTATTTAACAAATCCCTTGTAAGGAACTCCTGGCTGCTTAGTACTGGCCTGAATGCACTTGCTTCTCTGTGGACCAGATCCCCAGATACGACACTTGTGATTCAAATAAAGGCTAGATCTCCTTCAGTTTATTCCATTCGTCAGTGTTTTTACTACAACTTTTGAGAGTACTGCCGGAAGTTTCTGACAAAAAGTGAAAGTCTCTGGCAAGTGTCTGAGGAAGTAGACAACAGAGGGATATTCTCCTCCCCAGAGGACATAATAGTCACTTATAGAGAAGATATAAGACCTTCTTCTAAATAAAATATTAATGAATTTGGAAGGGAAATCCCCATTGGAACCTGGAGAGGTTGCATAACATTAAAGGCATGTGGAAATGAGAACAGGGAAGTAGATAAAACAGAAGCCTGAAAACTGCACATTCCTACATTTGGAAACAATTAGAAAACTTTTCCAAATCTAATATCAGGAACCAACATGTTTCTAGGGAAAGTCAAATCTGCTAAGGATTCTATAATTTCAATGTATGCTTAAGATTAGTTGTCATTTCTGCCATAGGATCCAAGGATAGATGTACCTTTCCTAAAACGACCCCCTGGCATGCTAAAGCATATAAACAGGAAGATAAGAAGGTATGAAAAAAAGCCACCCACTCCTCTCGTTGTGACAGACGTGGTTTCCCAAGTTTTTATCCAAAAGTTATCTCTGATTTGATCCCTTAGCATCACAAATAGTTGGGATAGTTGTCTTAGACTACCCTGCCTGTGGGCCTTCCCCGGTGGCTCAGTGGTAAAGAAAACGCCTGCCAGTGCAGGAGATGAAAGTTCCATCTCTGGGTCAGGAAGATCCGCTAGAAAAGGAAAATGGCTACCCACTCCAGCATCCTACCTGGGAAATCTCATGGACGGAGGCACCTGGCAAGCTACAGTCTATAGGGTCACAAAAGAGTCATATATGACTTACCGACTAAACAACAACCATCAACATGTACAACCAAAGAAATGGTACAGCAGATATGACCTACCCTTTTGGGACTGCAGCATCAAACCAGCAAATCACGTGTTTCACCATTCAGAACATCCTTTAAAAAAAAATAAACACACACCTTTGAACCATGTCATTATGTTAATGTCTGGCAGCCAAAAAACATTTTTCTTGCATCAATTTTGCCTAAAAACCAGGTCTCTGAGTGCATATCTTGATCTGGGAGAAACCGGCTATCGTTGAATACACTTTGATGGTCCAAAGGTCTCTATCTTGGCAGTTTTAATGCCAGTTTTGTGAATGAAGAAATGAACCAGAAACCATTCTGCCAGTTAGCACTAAAACAGGGTCCCTGTGTAACCACAGGACTTCCTTCTTGGCCAAACTGAGAAGATAATTGTTATGTATAATATTAATATTCACAAAGCAAAGTTCTCTGCTGATTTAGATGGCTACGAATCAGTAGTGTCATTGTTTTACCCACTTGGGTGTAGGGGTGTGTGTGTGTGTGTGTGTGCACACACGTGCATGTGTGTGTGTAGTGTAGTGTTCAATAATTCTTTGGACCCATCCAGGTGAGAAAATATTAAATTTGAGGCCTAAGTGTTTCCTGAAAGAATGTTAGAGATCATATAACTTATTTGTATTTTAACTTGCTCATTTAATATTTCTAAGGTAATAGTCTCATTTAAAAAATCCAAACAATAACAAAAAGTCTCTTTTGTTCCTCTTGGCCACCACCCAGTTCCACTTTCTTCTCCTGAGATAGCCAATGTTAACTAGTTGATACATATCCTTCTACTCCTCTTCTGTAAAAATACATAAATATATGCAACTGTAACATTATATGTTGTTTAAAATAAATACATGATCTCACAATGTATATCATCACTTATTTTTTCACTTAAAATGTTTTGAGATCTCCCCTATCTATGTTTTACTCCAGACCCTTCACCCATTTCAGGAAAAGGAAATGGCAACCCACTCCAGTACTCTTGTCTGGAAAATCCCATGGACGGAGGAGCCTGGTGGGCTGCAGTCCATGGGGTCGCTAAGAGTCGGACACGACTGAGCAACTTCACTTTCACTTTTCACTTTCATGCATTGGAGAAGGAAACAGCAACCCACTCCAGTGTTCTTGCCTGGAGAATCCCAGGGAAGGGTGAGCCAGGTGAGCTGCCTTCTATGGGGTCACACAGAGTTGGATACGACTGAAGTGACTTAGCAGCAGCAGCAGCAGCTTCACCCAATTCAAGCTCTTCATTTCACAGAAAAGGAAACTGAAGTCTAAAGTAGTAAAACGATTTTCCAAAGGCTGAATAGCAAGAGCCCAGCCAGTAGTACTTTCAAAATCAAACAAAAATCAGTGAATATTTACTGAACAAAGTTTGCAGAAACTAAAAAGGAACAAAATCTAATCTGAATCCAGTCTCTCCAATAGTTATTTTTTTTCCTCTGTTCAGCTTTTGTCTGTATGCAGAACTACTTTTTTACATAGTTGTAATCAAAGCATAAATCAATTGGTGTCCTTTTTTTTTTTTTTCTTTTCTGTTTTGGCCACGCTGCAGGGCTTTGCAGCATGAGGAATCTTAGTTTCCTGCTCAGTGAAAGCCACGGATCCTAATTATCGAGCCACCAAGGAATTCCCTTTTTTCACTTAAGTTAATCAGATGTTCATATTACTATCAAGTCGACTAGTTAATTGGCAATGATTGGTGACCAAACAGTTCATCTAGTAGTCAAGCCCTCTTCACAGACTTTCAAGTTACTAACTTCACTTTCCCCTAGATCCTGGTTCCGGTCCATTTCTCATCCCCTTCAGAGGCATTTCTCAACTCTTAAAGAGCTCCCATCTCCATCCTGGGTCTCTAGGGGGAATCTGAATACTCTCCGGGACCTGGGTCGCCTCAGTCTTCCCCGAGGTTCCCAAGAGAAGGTTTCACAAAGTCAGTTCCCGAGGTCCAGGAAACGCGAGTCACTGATGACTACGCTTCGGGGTTCTGTTTGGGAACCTCCAGAATTGACTGGAGTAAGCGATTGCAGGGTCCCTGTGGGGTCAGGGTGTGGAGGCTGGGCCCAGTCCTATTCACGTGACCCGGCCCCAGGGGGAGTAGTTCGTTTTCCCACCAGAGGGGGCGCTGGGGGTGACTGGCGGGGAGCCAGCCCCCTCCCCTCCGGGGTACTCCTGGGCGTCGCTCTCCGACTCGGGGCTCTGACGCCATCTTTCCGCGCCGGGGGCGGGGCGCGCTTGACGCCATCTCCGGGCGCCCGGCTGGGGGGGCGCTGGGTGTGGGGCGGCTCCGGGGCCGGGGATGGCGGCGGCCGCTATTGCGGCGGCTCCGGGACCAGCGGGAGGAGCCCGGGGAGCGCCGTGAGATGGGCCGGTGAGTGTCGCCTGGATTTAGGCCGCCGACATCACTGGGGCCAAGCAGGCCTGGGTTTGGTGCTCTGAAGGAAGTGGCCCCCCAGAGCCCGTTGCCCCGCGGACAGAGGGAGCGAAAGAGGCCTCGCCTAAACCCCGGATCGCTTCTCACCGGCCCGGCCCAGAGAGCTGCTTCAGGTTCCTACGCCCCTGCGGCTGTGTCCTGGCGGCCCGGGGTGTCCGAGTCCTCGGGGCGGGAAGGGGCCCCCAAACAAGGAAGCAGCGCCTGCGGGGCCTCGCCCTTACTCCTCTGCTTGAAAGGTCGACCCGCTTACTCTCTAAACGCAGAATTCCCAATTTCGGGCCTTACCACTTTGGGGGCAGTGATTGGGGGATCAAGGGAAGCCTTAGCCCTGTCTGTTCTAAGCTCCTTGCCCTCAGCGAATTCGAGTCTGGGGCTGGATTCAACCTCTTGATTCTGGGCTGTGCTGGCAGCTCCGGCAGCTCTCCGGAATGGTCCTCCTTTCCCGTTAGCTCCGTTAGGGCCACAGGCTGCGTCTTGCCCTGGAGAAATCCTCATTGAGCCTCTTAAGAGGCTAACGTTTCAGATTCCAAAATGTGTTTTGCGTTGTGGGAACCTGGTGAACAGTCTTGGCTCTTTGTTACTCCCGCAGACCTTTTGCCTCTTTTATTAGCCTCTGTTTGGCTAACCCCTCTGTGACCTAGAGGCAGGTTTTCTTTAATGTTTTAGTCGTGAGAGGCAAGTATCATTCTTGAAGATGTGACCCCGTTTTCTGTTGGAAATGACAGAGAAAGCTAACAGCTTTTCAGTTACTGGAACTGCTGGCAAGGAATGCAAGACTTGTGCCTTCTGTGTAACTTTGTGTTTATGGAACAAAGAGTTTGTCTTTCCACCTTGTTTTCCTGTCTTCTTCCTTTATTTTCTTTCTTTTTTTTTTTGATATATCTGCACCTTGCCGACCTTAAGAGAGAAATGCCTTCAGTTTGGTTTGAGGCTTGCAGTGTTCTGTAGGACTTGGAAAGCACAGTGGGTAGTATCAACAATTTCTCCAAGTACTGGTCAGTATTACTTTTTTTGTTTTCAGAGATTAAGGCTCTGGTCTTCAGTGCATAATGTTTCTGACAGGTGTAGATTCAGATGTTGACAGTTTAGCAGTTTTGTTTCCCATTGTTGCGGTACCTGAGGATGAAGGCAATACTTTCAGTTTCTGTCACACCTGATTCAGCACTTGGTACAAAGTTGTCACTTGGAAATTTCACACACACACACACACACACACACACAGGAGCCTGTTTTTTTTTTTTACCCTGGAAATTTGTTAATAAGGCTTCCCTTTGAGTGACTCCCCCTTGACCTCTTTTTCTGCCCCAGAAACATAAATAATTGTTCTTTTTCCTCCAGTGCCTCTTTTCTCATTTAAATAACCTCCACACTTATGTTTTCATTAGCCCAGAATAAAAGTGAAATCCGTGAGACTGATTTTTTTCCTGCTTCCCTTTGTTCACGTGGGGACAATGTTGAGTCTTCTACTTTGTGCATTTACCTGAAACTGGGATTGGAAGTAAATTTAACCTTTGGCAGAATAGGTACAGGTAGAGAGTGAAGAATATGATGTTAAGGAAAACAGTGAAGTTTGACACGTGGAAATTTTTTTCCCAGAGATTTCTTCCTACAAATTAGAATTTAATGTGTTGTTACCCCTAGAGAAGAGGCTGAGGCAGGGACTCCTGGACTTCAATGTCCTTGTGGCTTTAGAATTAGCTTTCTTCATGATCCTGGGGATGGTCAGAGGCTATGCTCCCGCTTACTCTATTCCTGTTTCTGTCTTGTAGGCTCCTAAGCCAGTGGGGAGGACACTGCTTCTTATTACAGCTTCTCAGAAGCACCACTGGAAGCTCAGGTAATAGAGGCGCTTTGGATACCTTGTTGCAGAAAAACATCTGGAATCAACAGTGGAAAAACAGACCAGAGTGTAATATCATAGAAATCTTTTTTCAGAGCCAAAGAACTGAAGCCTGATTGGAAGAAACAGGTGACAAATTTCATAGCTGTTCAAGTATTCAGACCAAAATGATACGTTGTGACAGTGGACAAAAGCGTGTATGAAAGGTGATAGAGAAAGGGGAGAGAGAACTTTCTTATGAATCACGTAGACTTAAGAAAGCAGTAAAGAGGCATGTTTTGGGGAATGGAACCAGAATCCTAAAAAGTGGTACCTAGAGCCTCCCTACCAAAGAAAAGGAGCCATTGGCAAAAGAAAAAAAGAAAGGGAATGAGTGAAGAAGGCAAATTGAAGGTGGTCTATGGGAAGAAAAGAAGTCTCGCCAGACTAGGGAACACAAAGTCTGTGTGAGGTCAGAAGAGTTTTGTTGCTCTTTGAAGAAAAGGAGAATTATAAATAAATTCTAGAAAATGCCAGTACAATCACTTTCCTCTTAGGCCCAAGTTTGAATGTAGTATTTCATGGGGCAGAGAAGATACTTATTTTCATAACATATTTAGGGAACAGCATTTTTTTAAAAAACAAGCAGACTTCAGGACCTATTGACACCTGGGTCTTTGGGGTAGTGGTGATATGAGGCAAAGGAGGTAAGGCCTAGGAGGGAGGAGGGGGACAGGTGAGATCATAACCCAAATTAGGCTGGGGAAAGGGAGCAAGGATGAGCTCATATGTTCAGGAAAGAAGATAGCACAGTAGTGTTTGGTGACAAAAGGAGAAACTTAAGGACCCAGCAGCAAAGACCATGTGTTCAAATCCCCCTTAGGGGAAAAGGCTCAGAGTGGTCAGGGTTCCCATCAGAGACACAGCTAATCATGACACTCTTGGTTTCCCTGGGGTCATGGGCCTACAGGTTATGTTACGCGTTTTTGAATGCTTGTCCTTGTAGCTGTGTGGTTTCTGTGATTGTTTCTTTTATGTCCTTGGCTGGATGAGTGAGGGGGGTAGCATCACACTTGTCTGCCTCTTTCTCATTCCTCTTTTTTTCTCAGCAGTCCCCTTGGTTCCATCTTCCTCCATGGATGCAGTTCCTGCTCTTCCATTTGACTTGGTTTACCCCTGGGTTACTGTTCTTTGCCTCTGATTTGTTCCCTAGCAGATGTGGGCGCCCCAGCCAACAGCACAGAGGGGTGCAGGGGAGCCACAAAGAAGCCCCTTCTGATGCCCCAAGGAGCAAGCCGACCCCTTCCAGGCTCCAGGAACACCACAAAGCAATATGAAACCTGTTCATGAGAGGAGTCAGGAATGCCTTCCACCAAAGAAACGAGACCTCCCCGTGACCAGCGAGGATATGGGGAGAACCACCAGCTGCTCAACTAACCACACACCCTCCAGTGATGCTTCTGAATGGTCCCGAGGGGTTGTGGTGGCCGGGCAGAGCCAGGCAGGAGCCAGAGTCAGCCTTGGGGGTGACGGAGCCGAGGCCATCACTGGCCTGACGGTGGACCAGTATGGCATGCTGTATAAGGTGGCTGTGCCACCTGCCACCTTCTCCCCAACTGGCCTCCCATCTGTGGTGAACATGAGCCCCTTGCCCCCCACATTTAATGTAGCGTCTTCTCTGATTCAACATCCAGGAATCCACTATCCCCCAATCCACTATGCTCAGCTCCCGTCCACCTCTCTGCAGTTCATCGGGTCTCCGTACAGCCTTCCTTATGCCGTGCCACCTAATTTCCTCCCGAGTCCCCTCCTTTCTCCTTCTGCCAACCTTGCCACCTCTCACCTTCCACACTTTGTGCCATATGCCTCACTCCTGGCAGAAGGAGCCACTCCTCCCCCGCAGGCTTCATCCCCAGCCCATTCGTTCAGCAAAGCCCCCTCTGCCAGCTCCCCGCCTGGGCAGTTGCCACATCACTCAAGTACTCAGCCACTGGACCTTGCTCCAGGCCGGATGCCCATTTATTATCAGATGTCCAGGCTCCCTGCTGGGTACACCTTGCATGAAACCGCCCCTGCAGGTGACAGCCCAGTTCTTACTCCTCAGGAGGGCCAGCCTGCTCTGGAAGCAGCCGCTGCCAATGGACAGAGACCGCGAGATAGGAATTTAGTGAGACGGGAAAGCGAAGCCCTTGACTCCCCCAGCAGCAAGGGCGAGGGCCAGGGACTGGCGCCAGTGGTCGAATGTGTGGTGGACGGACAATTGTTTTCAGGTTCTCAGTCTGCACGGGTGGAGGTGGCAGTGCCAGCACACCGAGGGACCCCGGACACTGACCTCGAGGTCCAGCGGGTGGTGGGTGCTTTAGCTTCTCAGGACTACCGGGCAGTGGCAGCTCAGAGGAAGGACGAGCCCAGCCCCCTCAACCTGTCCCACCATAACCCTGACCACCAAGGTGGGGGGCGAGGGCCAGTCAGGAGCACTGCCGAGATGGCTGAGAAAAACCAGGCCCGAGGGGTCTCCCCTCACTCCCATCAGGAACCCCTGAAGCATAGACCATTCCCCAAAGCAGTGGTTGTAGCCAACGGCAACCTGGTGCCCGCTGGAACTGACCCAAGCCTGCTGCCTGTGGGTTCGGAGATCCTGGTGGCATCAAGTTTGGACATACAGGCCAGAGCCGCCTTCCCAGACAAGGAGTCAACACCACCCCCCGTGACTTCTTCCCATTTGCCCTCCCATTTCATGAAGGGTGCCATCATCCAGCTGGCTACGGGGGAGCTGAAGCGGGTGGAGGACCTCCAGACACAGGATTTTGTGCGCAGTGCCGAAGTGAGCGGGGGGCTGAAGATTGACTCAAGCACAGTTGTGGACATTCAGGAGAGCCAGTGGCCTGGATTTGTCATGCTGCACTTTGTGGTGGGTGAGCAGCAGAGCAAAGTGAGCATCGAGGTGCCCCCCGAGCACCCTTTCTTCGTCTATGGCCAGGGCTGGTCCTCCTGCAGCCCCGGGCGGACTGCACAACTCTTCTCTCTGCCCTGCCATCGGCTTCAGGTGGGAGATGTCTGCATCTCTATCAGTTTACAGAGCTTGAACAGTAACTCAGTCTCTCAGTCCAGCTGTGCTCCCCCAGGCCAGCTGGGTCCTCCCCGAGAAAGACCTGAGAGGACAGTCCTGGGACCCCGAGAGCAATGTGACAGTGATGGGAAAAGCCAGCCGTCAGGCGAGGGCTCCCGGTCGGTAGAGCCCTCGCAGCCGGAGCCTGGTGCTCAGGCCTGCTGGCCTGCCCCGAGCTTCCAAAGATACAGCGCGCAAGGGGAGGAGGCGCGGGCTGCACTGCTTCGTCCCTCTTTCATTCCGCAGGAGGTGAAGCTGTCCATCGAAGGGCGCTCTAATGCGGGGAAATGAACCTATCCCAGACCCGGACTGGGGCTCCAGCCCAGAGCTGGGCCTCACCGTGAGTGAGCAGAGGATTTGCACATGCCGACCAGGGGGTAGCTCTCTGGGCAGTGAGGTTGGTGGGGAAGAGGCGGCACGAAGGCAGCCTCCCAAGGCAGGGTCTGTTACCTGTCACCCCATGGCATCCTTTCAGAACAGCCCCCACTGGGGTGCTGTGATGGGGAGCAACAGGCCTGGGCCAAGGAAGGAAGGGGGTGCACACAGGATAAGAAACATTCCAAATATCAGGGCCCCCATGTTCTTTCTTCATCCCTGGCTCCTGCAAGGAGAGAGTCAGGCTTTGGGAGCAGGTGACAGAGGGAGGGAGCAAAGAAAGAGCCAAAAATGATGATCCACAGCTTATAGTAGCAGTTCAGCTGTCTGAAGTTGTTTTTTTTTTTAACCTTTCTTTTTTGTGATGGGAGGGCAGGAGGCCCCATGGTTGGAAGTAAGAGGGTTCCCACCCAGAACTCTTCTTTTGAGAGCTGTGCACTTTAAAGGGTAGTTTTGTTACAGATGTTGGAGGCTGGGTTTTTTTGCAGGGGACTCTGCGCGACCCTCTGCTCCAGCCATTTCCTGTCTCCCCACCGTTCCTCCCACACGGATTCTAGCATCCCACCAGGAGAGAGAAGCCCCTCCAAGGCTCAGAGTGGAGACCTACCTTGGCGGGGACCCAGTTGCGGGATAGGAGAAAGACCTGATGGCCAGGCTGACCAGGCTCTAGGCAGAGCTTCCGGAAGGGCAGCTGACGTGACAAAGCCCCTCCTCCTCAGTGTGCTAGACCCACTTTGAAATTGTCCTGAATCTTGAGTTGCTAATGGTGACTTTCAAAAGAACCAGTGGACCCTTTGCCCCAGGCCCCTATACCCACTCCTCTGTCTGTCTTTGTTGTGCCTAAGTGCCTGCGCTGCCCCCACCCTCTGCTGACCTAACCTGTCTGCTTGTGTCTTGACCTGGGCCTAATTTTTAGCTGCATTGCCGTTCCCTTTCTACAAAACTGGTTTTGTCCACGCTGACCAAGACCTCTAGTTTGTGGTGTGTAAGGGGTCTCTCTGGTTTCCCTTTCAGTTATTCTCTAGTTTTAAAAACTCATCAGTCATGTCCCCTCCTCTCCTGTAGTTGAACTGTTTGGCAGAGAAACAAGAATGGAACTATGCCCTGGGTTGGGGCCAGTATCAGTGTCTGGGCAGTGCCCATCCTTAGGTTTTTACAGAGTCCCTCCCACCTTACTCCACACCCTCTCCCAGCATTTGGGCTTCCCCAAGCCATCTCCTCCCACAGCCCGCTCTAAGGTGTTGGGATAGTCTTTTTTTTTTTTTTTTAATTTTGTCCGTGGGATTTTAGTTCCTTAAATCAGGGACTGAACCTAGATCCTCAGCAGTGAAAGCATGGAGTCCTAACCACTGGACCACCAGGGAATTCCCTGGGATACTCTTGATAATATTTCAATACCTGAAAAGTCTCCTAGATTTCATTTTGTGGTGGAGTATTCCTCTGCAAAGAGTTTTTTTGATCTTAGTTGCATGTGCCCCCCTGTCTTAAGCCCATTTTTTTCCTTCATGACTTTTTAGCATCAGCTTGGACTGTGGGATTCCAGTGGATGTTGAGAATTAGGCTTCCCCCATCAGTTTTCAGGTGGGTGGGTGGGTATTCTGTTTGTATGGCTGGGGGCGGGGAGCCTTAGACTCTTGAAACAACTCAGGGTATTGTCCACTCAGTTCTCTGATGAGGCTTCTCCCAGGGTATGACCCTGGCCTTTCAAGATGGACTGGCCGAGGCCTGGCCTGTCATCCAGAGTCCCAAACCTCTGAGGTCTGATCTCTGCTCTGTCAAAGACTTTAGGCAAGTCTTGTGACCTCTCACTCTTTCACTTCCTCCTCAGCTGCCAAATGGGGATAAATAATCTTACCTACCTCCTGGGGGGAGGGGGAGTTCTGAGAATGGAGTCATTCTTAGTGTTCAGGTGCTAAAGGTTGTTCTCCTGGGGGAACAGAGTGACTGAGACCGGCTTGTTTGCTCCAAGCCCTGCACTCCACGGTTTCATTCCTTGCAAGCAGTTTCCTGGTCAGTCAGCTTCTGGAGGCCTGTCCAAAGGAAACTGCCGACCTGATCACTTCAGTTTCTGGTTCACCTCAGAACCAAACACCAGCCATGTCTGGTGAACACCCAACCTTGTACACATTTGGGATCATGTCCTTTCCCTTCTCTGCCCCCGTTCTCTCTCAATGCTGCTTTCTCTAGCTTGTTTCGACACTGGGGGCCTGTGGGGCTGAGTCTTAAGGAATCTTCTCAGAGGAGGCCTCCAGAGAAGGCCTCATTTCTGGCTGCTCCACAAGCAATTCATTCCCAGTTTCTCATACCCAGGTGTCTCAGAAACCTCCTTTCTCATTAGGAAGGTTCATCCACTGAATATAGTGACAGGCACATAGTAAATACTCGAGAAATAACTACCATGGATACCAGCCAAGCTTCTTCCTTGTGGGAGCAAAGCTCTGTCTAACCAGATACACACCAAGTAGTTTAAATACAAAACCCCCTCACTGCCCAGCCTGGTAACTTCCACTTAATTCTGGAAAGAGGAAACCTTGTGCACCTTGGCGAGCTGGGTCCTGCGCTTTCTGCTGCTGTTCCTCTTCTGTCTCTTGCTGGTAAAGCAGTACCAGCACTTCCCCTGATACTGTGCCATGCTTATGTAATAGATTGATACTTGACTTTGCGGAGCTGCAGAGGTGTCTTGTGTAAAGTATGGTCTCCCAGGGAAAGAAGCTCTGTGCTCCAGATCCTGGCCAGAGCACTGGCATTCCCCTTACCTTTTCCCTCTGGTTCAGTCTTTTCTTCCAGGTGTGAGGAATGAATAACCTATGATGTGTCCATTCTTCCTCGTGAAGATTTCATAAGTGTTATTATAAGAGACCTAAGAGCAGGGTGAAAGAATGAGTGCTTTGGTGGGATGTCAGCTTTGGGGGGGTAATGGACAGTTGGAGAAGGCCAGTGTCTGGGGTAGGACATCCTAGAGCTTAGACATGGAAAGGACAATGGCTAACTCTGGCGTTACACAGAAATGCCTACACCGGTTTGGGTGGTGGACCAGGTGAAGGACAGGTAAGACATCCAAGTCTTGGATAACCATTTCTATCAAGATTAATGTACAAGGAGGGGGTTTGGCATGGGGGAAGGGGAAACTGGGAGGTCAGAGCTGAGCACTGGTAGCCCGGTGAGGAGGCGCAGCCAGTAGATCTGGACTGATCCTTCTATACTCTCGGTTCAGTTGGTTGTCACATCAGGGGCTTTGGTCTGTGCTGCTTTGCCACTGCTGCTGTCTGTTCACGGTCCTGCCTGCTGCCCTTCACAGCGCTCTTTCTGTGTCTTTGGCCATATAGGTGAGACCCAGGCATCCTGTCCATCCTTACCTGTGCAAGGGTTACTTTGTAGCAAAGTCATGTTGAGTAGGGATGGTATGAAATGCTGCTGGTGGGCTGGTGAATCCAAAGGGATGTGGCTTCAGTGCGTCTTGGGAGCCCTTTGGCTCCAAATATCTGACTCTTGAAGAAGAGACAAGTGGGTCCTGTAAGTGGTGTTTTCTGTGTATTCGCTTCTTTCCTTTATAATATCTTGTATCCTGTTTTAAAAATTAAATGATGGGGAACCAGGTTAGGACCTGTGTCAGCATCCCAGGGAGGTTCATCTGGCTCCAGTTAAGTGGATTCTGGGGTTGGGGGAGGGTTTGAAATAGACCCTCAGGTGGGGTTTAGTTTTATTTTTACCACTGGGCACCATAGAAGATGCACAGGGTGGTGGTATGATTTCAGTCTGCAAGAAGCAGGAATGTTGAAAAGTTGAGTGATCACACTGGAGATAAAGGGTAGACATGAGTTGACTGGGAAGGGGCTTGGGTCCATTGGAATAAAGACAACCTGGTTGACTGAATTGGCCATGGGAGATTTAAGTTACAGTCTTAAAGCAAATAGTGCAGAGGCCAAGTTTTAGGGAGACTTCTTGGCCTCTGAGGCTAAGATTACTAAACCACACTGAAGCTACAATACTTTCCAGATGGGAAGAAGTGTACACTACAGTTGAAGATCTGAACCATGTGAGGTTGGATGTTGACCAGGAACCTATTAGCCCTTTGCTGGGAAGCCTTCACCCTCCAGCTTCCCTGGGATAGGCAGGGCCTCCCGCATTATGCAATAATAAAAAACGCGTCTGGGTCTTTGCAGCTGTCAGTTGCTCTTTCAACTCTAGGATCCTTCTTTGGGCCACACGTCTGGTCTGGGCCTAGGATGATGCTGGCCCTTGAGATGCTAGAGTGGACTGCACTCTCTCCTTACCTGCAGACTATGCACAGTGCCTGGGGCGGAAGGAGGAGAGGTGGTGCGGTGTGCCCTGCTGAGCCTCCCCAGCAGGAACAGTAGTAATAAATGCACTTTTCACACTAAGGTTTCTTTATTAGTTCTCCTATTAAGCCTAGATCCTCCCCTGGTAGACTGCAAACTCAAAAGTCTGTGTGATTCCCCCAAGCCATTCTACTGCAAATGCCCAGCAGTGAAGATGGCCTCAAATTGAGTTCCTGTCTGCAGTGTGTGTGGCGGCAGCCCATGTGCCTTTACCTATTGTCAAACTTGCAAGCATTTATTTTGGTCTTTATGACTGTCATGGGGACTGAGGTTCTTCAAAGAGAGAGCGAGCGCGTGTGCGAGTGTGAACGAGCTGATGACACTGGTTTTACATCCACTCCCCGCACAGGGAGTTTGCACATAGTTGTGAGCTGCGAGTGGTTAGTGCATCACTGAGGTTGCTGAAGGGAGGGTTCATCTCTCATTTGCTTGACACTCGCATTCAAGAGAAGCTTGTGTTGGGGAAGAGACTGACAGTACTCTTGGCAAACTTAAAGTATTAAAAATAAGGCTGTCCCCTACAACCTCCCTCGTCACACACAGGATCCCTGTAGCCAAAACAGTGTATGTTCCAGCCGCAGAGAGCAGACTGCTCTCAGCTTGCACAGCACCTTAGGGGAGGGAAGAGTATATGGGTAGGGAACGGGGTGGAGAAGGGAGGATGGGGATGTTGTCATCCAGGTGGCTTTAGGGTCCTGAGGAGTAGTAGAGGACGGCACTGGGGAGGTCTGATGGATGGATCTGATTTGTGTAGGAGTTCCCTGTAGATAAATTACTGATCCCCCAACTACTATCCCCAGTATGTAATGGCTAAATTAATATGTAATCAACTGCATTGTATCTAAAGCCTTAGAACTAGTCAGGTGCTCCCCCCACCCAATACCATTTCTTACCCTCTAATCCTACCTGATCTTTAACAAAGCATTAATAATTCTAAGGATAATCTCTATTTTGTTGTGCTTTTTTGTAACTGTTTTAAATAAATCAATTTGTACTGTATATTTGTACTTTTGTGAGATCCTTTTTGCTGTTTTACCATTTTAAGTCTCTGTACTTGGCTACACACAGATTGTATTTTTATTGTTAATGCTCTTCTTATGGATACCTGCATTTAACTTGTGGACTATGTAAACACAATATATATCAATATCTATATATCTATATATCTATCTATATAAACTACTAGCTTTTCCTTTTGGTGTTTGCGCCTTCTTCATATCCCAGCCTTAGACGGTGGCCCTTGGGTGGGGGACCGAAGCCCTGTGTGGCAGAGCTTGAATTAGCAAGCAAGTGGCACCCATCTTTATGTGGTGGCCTGGGGGCAGGTTGCGTGAGCTAGTCCTGAACTGTGCTCTACACGTTCTGTTGTATCTCAGGGACCCAGAAGTCTACCTGGAGACTCAGATACTGTACTACCACAACCACAAGGACCTGTAGATGCCCTCACTGTTGGCGTTTTTTCTAATTCCATTCTCAGGAACAATGCCAGAAACTTGGTGTAAGTCAGCTTCAATCCCAGCTACCACTTCTAACTTAGCTTGCCACTAGTAAGGGGTGAAACACTCAAGATACATTAATAGTTACTCACATTTATTGAGCACTTGCCATGTGCCACAAAATCTACGTGCATTATATATTAACAACTACTTGTTGCTGGTATTATTATTTCCATTTTGTGGGTGGGAAAACGAAGAGGTTTAAGTATGTGCCCAAAGTTACACAGCTATTAGCAGTACAGAATGTTAAATCCAGGCACCTAATTCCTGAGTTTGTGTTAACTCATGGTTTGTTGTAAAAATTAAATGAGATAATCCATGAAAGTGCTCAGAACAATCTTTGACACATAATGAGTGCTCAACCATTTTTGAAACATCCCAGGTAGAACTTCCAGTGTGGGGCTCTGTGAGGAAGCCATTCAGCTCAAATAAGTATTTTCTTTAAAATGTCCAGTACTTTGTAATAGGCTTACTAAAATTCCTGTATTTTTCAAAACAAGTATTTCAGCCAGCCTGGTAGGAATTAACCCTAGTTTGGTGGGGGGTCAGTTAACACTCTTTAAGTAGCCTTGAACCTACAGAGATCAGGGAGGAGTCCAAGTTTCCTTGTTATGATATTGGAAGAGGTCCACATTCCTGGCATAGTTATTTTTCTGGCTACAACTTAATTAGGGCACTTCCTTTTGGACCTCAGGATCTATAATTATCAAACTCTACACAACCTTTGGTGCAGGCTAAGGAAAGTTGTGTGCTTGTTGTGTACCATCACAGGCGGCTTTTTAGAAATGACCTCAGCTCTTGTCTCCTCCATGGTTTGGCAGCCATACAAACTGCCAGAGTAGTCATTTTGCTCTGGTCTTGACCACTACTGACTTGAGCTCTCAGTATCACCTTAACTCTGGATTTTCCTCAGTGGGTTTTATTATCGTACCTTGGCTCTGGGGACTACATAAAAAGATGGGCTGTTAACCTCTTCTCTCAAATATTGAGTTCCCTGGCACTATGTACCTTAATATTGCAGCTGTTTCTATGACTGTATCCCTAAATGCAAATGACTGCTGTCTAGGGTAGAATTTTTGACTGCTGTCTAGGGTAGAATTTTAAGTTTGGCAGACTGAATTCTGCTGGGCAAAGTAGTTGGTACCTAGTCTAAATACTGCATCCTCTTTAGCAAGTGACAGTCATGAGGAAAGGTGTCTGCTTCTGAGTTTGGAAAAGGTATGCTCAATATTGCTCAGTTAGCGGCCGCCTCTTTGCAACCCCATGGACTATACAGTCTATGGAGTTCTCCAGGCCAGAATACTGGAGTGGGTATCCTTTCCTTCTCCAGGGGATCTTCCCAACCCAGGGATAGAACCCAGGTTTCCCACATTGCAGGTGGATTCTTTACCAGCTGAGCCACAAGGGAAGTCCAAGAATACTGGAGTGGGTAGCCTATCCCTTCTCCAGCGGATCTTCCCAACCCAGGAATTGAACCGAGGTCTCCTGCATTGCAGGCGGATTCTTTACCAACTGAACTATCAGGGAAGCCCCAGTCATGAGAAAAGCTGTCTACTTCCAAGTTTAGAAAAGGAAAGCTAGGTTGAAATAGCTCTTGGGACCACAGGCAAGCCTCATTAGGGTTGTGGGCATGGACCCTCACAAAGCTGGCATCAGTTCTTTCTCAAAAGTTGTCATTAACTTGTGAAGGCCAGATAAGGGATCTCTGCTTGGAGAGCCTAAGTGGAGGAGCACCCTCCCTTGGAAAAAGACAATCACTATAAGTTCCTGTCTGAAAACTTCCATCCAGGTCTTAGATCACTTCATTTGCTAGAATGAAATCAAGAGAAGAGCAGGAAAGGGCAGTAAAGATAAAATTAATTTATTTGCCCTCATAACTCCGCGGGCCGCACTGGGACCCCACAGTCCCACGCGCAGACCTTGCAGCAGTGGGCTGGATAGTTGAAGTGTCTGGAGTGCCTGCTCCCTCATCCACAGCTGCCTGGAGCCGGGTCCCTCCTGACCCCATCATCCTGCTCCCACATGCAAGGGGTATGCAGGTCCACCCGCAACAAACCCGGGCCTGCCTCTGCTACAAGGACAGGATCTGAGGGTGACTGAGTACGGATCCCTGTGGGTTTGGGTGGGTGGTGAGCGGGAAGGCAGGCAGGAGGGTGTGGCTTCAGTGCAGAGCACTGCTGTTCTGCTCTTCAAAGGCCATCTTGCCCAGGAGTTGGCTGTCCAACTCCACCCCACTCACAGGTAGCTGGAAGAAGTTCATTTCGGCTGCTAAGGCTGCCATGGCAGAAGGGTCCTGGCCAAACTGAGCTCGCAACATCATGTCCATTTTCTCCAGCCTCCTCTTGAGCCGCTTGGCCTCCCGCTCCCGGATGAGCCGGGCCTGCCGCTTCTCGGGGGTCTCGTTGGCTCGCTTCAGCCTCATGGCCTCCCGATCTCGTTGCAGCCGGCGTGCCCGCTGCTCGTCTGTCTCCTGCATGCGCTGCAGGCGCTTGGCTTCTCGGTCCCTCATGCGCCTCACCTCCCGCTCCTCGGGGGTCTCATTGTCCCGCCGGCTCTTCTTGGCTGTGCGCTCTCGTTCCAGTCGCTGCAGCCGGACTTCCAAAGGCTCATTCTGCCGACGCAAGGCCCATTTGCGGACACTGGGGGTCTGTGCTTCCAGTAGCTTCCGGTAGGCAGCACAGTTGTTGCATACAAGCAGAATTCCAGCAGGGTACACTGGAGGACTAAAGGCAATGTCCTTCCCCTCGGCACTAGAGGGGCCCTCACTGTGGGCTGGCGGTAGGGATTCCATATTAAGGACTTCGGGGAGTTTCTCACTGGAAAGCAAAAATTTTGTATGGTTAATGCCATGGTCTAACAAGGCCCTGATTTATTCTGTCCTGCTAGGCCAGTCGCTCCAAGTTCACCACTAGGGGTCAGCTTGAGTACTTGGGAGACCTCCACCTTTCCACTCTTGCCCTTCTTTGGGCCAGAGAGACTACCAAGTCTTGAAGCCCACCTGGGGTTAGGGACTGAGCCAACCGCCACAGCAAGCCATCAGAAATCAGAGGAGGAGCCCTTATGACGTACAGTTCCGTTCAAGACAAACTGCTTGTGTCTTCAGGAGCTGTGCAAGGCAGTCCTCCTTGAGGTGGGAGCTGCCACAGCGGAGGTCCAGTCCACTGGCTTCACGTCCCCCTGGCTGACCCTGCCTTGTACACTAACTAGCAAACAGGACACGGACAGCGCACACAGCCCGTCTTCCTGGACACGGAGGAGACTGTCCTCATGTGAGGGTCCTCACGGCCCCTCTAACTTCTTTCTCCATGCTTTATCATGAACGTTCTTGGACTTCCCCACATCCCTTTCTAGATGAAGATATTCTGATTGAGGAAACACACGAGGGGGTGTTTTAACAGAATGGACATATTTATTAGCCTCCTTCCTTGTATTTCCAGAATCAAGAGTCAGTTGCCTTTGCAATGCCAAGTCTTTGACTGGGAAAGGAGAACCCACACCCAATAATCTGCTCCCAGCATAGAGGTTTAGGTGCCCGGCTAACCTGTTAAATGTGGCATGGCTAGTGAAACGGGCTCCACACACAGCACAGTTAGACCGCTGGTCCTCCGAATGGATTAAGAGGTGGCGACCCAGTGACCCTGGGGAGCTGAGGGCCCGGCCACAGACGGGACACATGTAGCTCTTGGCGCTCACCACAGCTGCAGTGTGCTGGAAAAGAGAGCCTCATCTGTCAACTCACACCAGCTCCAGGACAAGTTCTACCCACTGAGGAACTACTTTCTGGGAAATGTCCCCTCTTTCCTTAGTCTTAGAACAAGAACTCTTCTCCATATTTAGCACCCAGAAAAGGAACAGGTTCATGTTAAAGGGCCTTCAGAAGGGTGAGGCCATCCACACCACTGCTCAGATTTCACTGATTTGAGTTCTGACTATGTTCTGGGATGTGGGGCTGGCTTGGGGAACAATGAGATGCCACATCCCTCTTCAGAGCCTGAGAAGAATTTTTGCTCAGGATAATTTCTCATGGTCTGTTTGCCCCATGGTGTGTAGGTATAAGTGCACTTTACCGTCTTGAGCCACCAGGGAAACCCAATAAGTGCACTTTAAAGGAGCATTGAAGGCCAAGTCTAGAAGCTGGCTGGGAAGACTGGTACCCAAAAGGTATTTAAATGCACAGCTTTTCCTTCCTTCTTTTAATATCAGGTCTTCTGAAGAAATGCTTCCCCTCATAAACCTGTGATCTTTATGGTAAAACCCAGGCTGCCATGTGTGCTGATGCCTGTTCACTACAGATCACAAGACACATGTGTTCTGTGACTGGATCAGGGGAAAAAAGGTTGTCTTGCTCTGATGCATTGGTTTACACTAACTTTCTCCAGTATTTCAGAAACATCTGTTAACTCATTTTTTTCTTCTTTGAAACAAAGCCCATTTCTCTCTCGCTATATAAAATATACATTAATTATTTTAGGAAAAAAATGATACTTAATTTTCACAGTATGTCTGCCTGGGAACCCAGAACATAATTCACTCAATGTATCCCACTTACTCTCTAAGAGTGGAATCTGGGTGGAAGCAAAAACAACCCAAGGTTCTTTCTGGGGCTGGAGGCAAAGGCTAAACAAGTCACCGGCGCCCATTTTCTGGAACATGTGGCCATACCTGGTACACGTGAGCAATCAGCTGCTCCCGACTCCCACAGTCGAGTTGGCAGAGGGGACACTGGCAGAGTCCAAGTAACGGGTCAGAATGCAAATTCTCCGTGACCTGCAACACAACAAGTAGGCAATTCACTAAGATGGTTTACCACTCTCTTCCCTGCCCCTGCTACTTTTAAAAGGGTTTCCTGTTAAAAGGAACACAACCTCTTATCATACATTATTCTCAGGTTCCCATCATAAGTCAAAGGAAAGAGTGACAGGGGGAAGGGAATTAAATTTGTTCCCATCTTCATTTTCTCCAAGGCTTCCTGCCATGAAGACATAGAATTACTCCAGAGAGCTTATCTAATTTTTCCCCTCTAAGGTAAACACTGTAGGGAGAAGATTAGCTTTCCCTCCTGCCATGCCTCTTGCAGGAATCCTCAAGAGACAATTCATTGAAAAGATGGCACCTTATTTAACACTGTGACTGAAATTTGCAAGCGTATTCAAGCATACATCTCAGGAAGTCAGCTAATAGTTTTGCAAAGATGGATGTTCTGCCAGAAAGAAGTGGGGAGCTTCGGGAGCAGGAGCTGCATGTGGGTAAAGTGATATGTGGGTGGGTGGAAAAGGAAGGCTGGGTGTGATGAGAACTGTGTGCCTGAGGTCGGGTACCTGGTGCTGTGAAAGAAGACAGGCTGCATCTGAAAACCCCGGAGACCCTCAGAGGCAAGAGTTGCCTTCAGGTGGAAGAGAGGCATCTGGACAGAGCAGAAGGGGAAGGGGTGCCCAGATTCAGGATCCACTTGTCACTTGCCTCATGCTCTACCACTTTCTTTCCACCAACAGGCTGTTCTGCATTTTCTAACTCTTTTTCCACTTTGACCACTCCTCCATCTTCTTCTGACGTATGGGAAGAGACTTCATCTTGTGTGGTCTCTTCGTCTCCCTCACTGTCACCTGGAACACACAAACTGGTCACTTATTCTGATTTTTGCATGAGTATGTCTTGTGTTGCTTTCCACCCAAGAGTTTGCAGCTAAAATGGAAAACACCCCCAGATCTTCCATAATATAGTTGGTATCAGAACTTTTTTTGAGTACAAATCATGTTAAGTGGAAGCCAGCTCTAACTGTTCCTTATGTTGTCATATATACATAAAAGAGAAAATCGGAGGTAAAACTGCATTGGAAAATGGTTATTAGGCCTTGTATATTACCATAAAAATGATAACTTCTTACACACGGTTCCCAAATATCTCACACTTCAAATCATACCTCCCATGCCCCTCACACCATGCTTATTCCGACAACACACCACTTTCAACTTACCAACACTTATCATTGATTTTATTACTTACTTTTGTCCCTAACCTCGCTGCACAGTTTCTCCATGGTGTCATACTCTGTTCTATTCTGAGACCCTCTAGTCTTTTCTCTCCCAACAAACCACAAGGCGCACTTGTAGAAACACCAACAAGTTTTTCTCTCTTCTTATCGATAAAGGAGGTAGTAGGAAATTAGGTAAAAATGTCACTTTCTAGGGGAAAAGCTGCTCAGGACAGTGCAGGAGTTAGTACAGCAACCGACCTCTGGCATTCTGCAGTGGCGTCTGACTCACGGTGTCCTCACCCTGCTAGGAACTCAGCAGTCTAGGCTAAATAAGTCCGTTATTCCTGGTGGTTCCTTGGATTATCTGATGGATAACTGAATGCTTAACTGGAGGGAACAGGACATTCTTTACTTTGGGATGAAACATCATTTCTAATGACTAAAGTAAGAATTGAGTTTGTTTTAGTTTAGGAGTAGGATGTGGCTGTGTAGAGGTCTGCCTGTGGCTAGGGGATCTGCAAGGTTTGTGTGAGCTGATTTTTTTTTTTCCTATTATAAAATAGGAAAAAAAATGATTTTGTTTTTCTTTTTAAACATAGTAATGTAAGGAGTTCTTTCTAAAGGAAAAAAAAAAGTGCTAGTACATTGAAGATCCCGAGAGGAAGCCAAACCTGGGGAAGCTGTCAAGACTCTAGTCCCGTCCCAACACCACCTGGATCTTGGACTTCTGGGCCTGAGTGTCAGTGAGAGGAATTCAGGATGGAGCTTCACCAGGCTCTCTGCATTGGCAGTGGGACTCGGCTTTCTTAGCTAACGATGCTTACCTTCTACTATCCCTTAAGTAATTTCTAAATCTACCAGTAACTGGGCAAAACTGGTCACATTCCCTTTCTTCCAAAGGAAATCTACCCATATCACCTGCTAGTAGTTATTTGTGTCTCTGTTAGATATTCCACTTGGTTAGTGGCCTGGATTTGAGCCCTGGAAAGATCCGTAGTACGTGTGCACTACTCCTCAGTCCAAAGGTTTAGTTTGAATCCACTTCAGTAAATAAGATCGGCACAGATTAAATGATACAATGTTTTCTCATCAACTTATTTAGAATACCTGTAGTCTAAAACAATACTGTATCAAACGCTTTTTGTAATTTCTCAAAAATTCAAATATATCTACTAGAAAGGTTAAAAAAAAAAAGTCTGCCATGTAAAGGGATGATACAACTTTTCCAGAAAGGAAACCTACCCGACTTCCGTAGATTTGGCATTCCCACCTACTACTAAAACCGGGGCTCCTGCAGACTTTCGAGAAATATTTGGGTTTATTTTTCTGTACCTGAGCAATGACTTGCTAAATTACTATTTTTATTGCTAACATGTTAATTTAAATAGAAAATGTAGTGCCTAGAAGAGTGCAGAACTCTCTCCCTCTTCTCTCCTTTTCAACCGCAAGTGTGGAGAAAAATCAGAAATGTCAATCTGAATTGATACTAATAACAGCCAATATCAGAAGGATCAAATTAATAAAGTGAGGGTATCATCCTAGAAAATAACACATCTCAAAGTGTATTTGTTCAAGCAAATCGTGGAACAGATGATCCCTGAGGCTCAGCCAGTTACCAGCCACTGTCTTTTCATTCTCTTCATCAAAGGATCTACTCAGGACGTGGGGTGGGAAGGCCTGCACGCCGCACGTTACCATTTTATGTGCCGTGTAATCTCACTAATAAACAAATCCTCTTACAGAGCATTAAAATCGGGTCTTCAAGCAAAACCTTCATGAATACCACGCTTGTATTTTATTAATTATGAATAAATAGATTCTAAGGGATAGGGATTTTCTTTTCTTCTCATTTGACGTAGCCCAGGGGCTCCTTGCACACTAAACATCCCTAAACATCCCTATGCCCCTATCAGAGTTATCACAAACCTATCTGTGTATGGCACTATGCCAAGTACTGCAGTCCTTGAGTTAAAAAACAAAACAAAACACACAATGTCAAACCTGTTCCCTCTCTGCACAACCATATGCCCATATACCTTAGAACACCTGTGGGAACACTGAGGATCCACAAATCTCCTTCAGGTCTTCCTCCCACCCCCCATGCACAATCCCCAGAGCACACACACTCTGATAATTCTTCTCCCATTGCCCTGAGTCATTACCAGAAGGTGCAGAACTCACTGCTACTGGAGTCCTGATCTCTTAGTTGTTGGATAGCTTGTCGCTGACTGCCAAGGTCTCCAGGAAAATCAGTTTTCATCATCGCCTGGCGGGCTTGCTCTTCTAGCCCAGCAAATACTTGATCCCCTGGTGGTCACAAGGAAAAATAGTCAGGCCACCAGCTGGGCGGTACATCCCCAGGCAAGCTGGTTGGAAAGGCAGACCATTCAAAGGTAGGAGACAGGCAGGTACCCTGTGGCGGGGTCATTCATCTCCAAGTCAGCTGGTGGCCTCCAGTGGTTTCTGGGCACAGCTACTCTTCCTGGGCAAGAAGCCAGATGCTCTAGAAAGAAGCATTTGCTTCTCTTAAATCCTCCTACTCTTGACTCCTTTTAGAGGTGATAAATTGCTATTATAATGTTCCATCAGGAATGGAGAGACAGAGACAAGAGGCAACGCGATGGGATGAAGACAGGGCAACAAATCTGGGCACAATTTTGAATCTTAGTGTATTAGCTACATGGCCCTGACTGCCTACTGCTGACTATATAAGCAAGTGCTTCAAACAATCCATCTAAAAACAGTATCTCTGACCCCATCTTTCATCCATTCTCCTTACAAGACATACTATGGAAGTTTTCCCTTGACTCTCTCACATCTATAAGAATTAGTCACAAGCAAATAAACAATTGGTTGAATGATTGATTTAAAGGAAAATGGATAATATGTAACTCACTTCTGCTGAGGAACAAACTTCCTGAAACATGCCAACCAGTTCGCAACAGGATAATATTTCATCTAGTCTCCTTGGTTTAGTGTGGTCTTTTTTTTTCTCTTTGTATGGGGTATCCAAAAGCCCTGGAACCATCCTTGACTGTGCATTTACCCAAAGGAACTCCGCCTGGTGTCTGTGTGGTTATTGAGGAGTTAACATTTAAGTGCTCTTTTATTTCCAAGAGGCCAGGCATAAGGAAAAAAAAGAATTGGGTTTCTCAAGGTTTCCATTATCTCAGTCAGAGTGGAAACTACAATCCCCATTCCCCAGCCACCAAGGAAGAATAATAAAAGCCGTAGTGAAATGTCTGACAACAGGCCAGGTGCTTTCTTAATGAAGAGAAGGGAAATTAAACAGACTCAGGTTCCGAGGCTGATACAATGATTTAAGAGAAACGACCTGGTCAAATGACTTGAACAACTAGTCTTCGGGCAGTGAAAAAATTGATGTGAAGTATGACTTCCCAGGTGGCTCAGTGGTAAAGAACCCGCCTGCCAATGCAGGAAGCCACAGAGACACAGGTTCAATCCCTGGGTCAGGTAGATCCCCTGGAGGAGGAAGTGGCAACCCCCTCCAGTATTCTTGCTAGGGTAATTCCATGGACAGAGGAGCCTGGTGGGCTACAGTTCATGGGGTCGCAAAGAGCTGGACATGACTGAGTGACTGAGAACACACATGGGCTTTGTGTGATTCACTTAGGCATTTATTCAGCAAATATTCAGTGAACATGTCCTATATGTTAAGTACTGAATGCTAATAATAGTGATTATTTTGCACTTCCGAGTTCCAGGCTGTGTTAAGTGCTTTATAGTTGCTTTGTTGTTGTTCAGTCGCTAAGTTGTGTTTGACTCTTTGTGATCTCATGAACTGAAGCACGCCAGTCTTCCCTGTCCATCATCTTCCAGAGTTTGCTCAAACTCATGTCCATTGAGTCAGTGATGCCATCCAACCACCTCATCCTCTTTCGCCCCCTTCTCCTCCTTTATAGTTCCTACTTCACCTTAATTCTCTGCAAGACCCTTTGTCGTGGGAATTACTATCCATATTTTACTTGGGAGAAAAACTAAGATCTACGGTGGAAACAAAGATTCAAACTCCAGTCTATCCAACCCTTAATAACCATATTTTTCAACTCCTTTCTAGCATAGTTGTAAACAGAAGTTTAAGTGGTTCATTAGAGTGATTTTACCAAAAACAAATGCTTGTCTCTGTGTGATAAGAATAGCTCTGATCCTACTGTCAGTGTTACTTTCCTTCTAGGAGAAACTGATATATACAATGCAAATATCAAAATAATATTCTCAAGGCCAGTAATGACGAAAGGAACCATCATTTTTCTGGTTCTGACGCCATGTGATGAGTTACCATGCCTGGCTTAGAGTAATATTATGATTCTCTGAATGATACTGTGAGTGGGAACAGAGATGCGAAACGTCTAAGTGCACTTCTAGATACACAGCCCTCAAGTAAAGGAAAAATAAGCTGCTTCAAGTCAACCTTCACAATATTCAGGATGGCACACTGGATATATAAATTGTAGCCACGGAGAGCAGAAAGTGAACTGTGTTACAGGGCCTCCTCTCTCCTCTCCGCAGCAGTAAAATACCGAATTTCTCCTTGTTGGCTGCTCCGTAACCACAAGACCATGGCCAACTGGAACAGTTAAGGAACTCTGGGTAAATGCCTGTTTTTGGACCTGGTGGCCATGGCAGGTATGACACTAAGGAATAAGTTATGTACTAGCATATAATTATCAAGGGCAGACCATCCACATCAAAGACATCTCTAAAGAAGCCTATCCAGAAACCAGCTAGGTTTTTAACACACCAAGAATCTACACTTTCCCCTCCTTTCTTAATGGGGAATCACCACTGAATTAGAAGGACATCTAAAAGAATATGTACTTTTCAAGATCAGCTAGTAATTCAGTCTAGTCTCCATTAACTTGGGCTAAAAATTTACTTCTCTTGATGTTATCTAAATATTTAGGCCTTCACAGAACAGAGAAGAGTCTGTTTAATACAGCTGCCTATCCAGGACTTTTAGGAGCATTCTCACCTAGGATTGTTGGGCTATATTAATTGTTATTCTCTTTTTCGGCAGTTTGGAAAGAAAAGCTATGGTCCCATATTTTATTCCACTCCTGACTTGGGAAAAAGGCTAAGGTAAACTTTACTCCTCAGGGATATTCCTATTTTAAATATCAACATAAAGCAAACTATATAAAAACTATAAAAAAGGATTCTTTCATAAAGTAGTGATACTTGCTAAAAGTATGTCATGTTAACTCAGGTATAATATGATCTATACAGATACTAGTGATTAAGAAGTGTTATACAATTGCCTGCTTTTACAGTTACTATTTCCTTCTGTCTTGAGACTATTGGAGTCAGTTAAAAAAATCCTCTGGTTTCTAGATATCAATGTAAAGTAACCATCTTATTTAATTAACATGGGTATGTATCTGTCTATTGATAGTTGAGAAAAAGTCATCTAAGCTCAACAGTAAAAAGCAAGGTGCAAAAAAAAAAAAAAAAAAAAAGCAAGGTGCTCCCTCTCATTTTTATGGTATGAAATCTAGATACTGTTGGTTTGATTTGGCTAAGGTCTTTTAGACCAGATAAGAATAAAGTCACACAAGCAAGTCTGTAGAACAGATGAGAAGCCTGAGATGAAAGTTACTGGAAAGAAAAAGATTTTACAATTATCTTTCTTGAGTCTTTGGTGCAGTTAAATAAATGCAATGTCTGGTGGAATGAAATTAAGTAAAGCAGTTGAGACATTTTCTAGGAGAGCAGATGTCGAATTCAGAATAAAATAAGTTAGTGTTGGGAGTGAGGCGCTTAGGATTCTTTTTCTAGCTGCCAGTCTCCGTAACTGAGGTGCTACCACATGTTGGGAACAGAACCATTATCTTACAAGGATGCTGACAATGAAGACAAAACAAATTGCACTTTTTAGAAGATGAGGGACTTTAAAGCCTTTTTTCCTACTTCTCTGTAAAAGTTAAAAACTTTAATTGAAGTTGGAAGTTTTCAGTCTCATATATAATTTGAAAACAAAAGTCTCTTAAGGAAAAGTGTTCCTTTACTTAAGTGGTTTGCTTGGTACAAACACATCAGATGAAAGTGTGCAAAGGACTGTATTTGCAAACACTCTAGAAACAGTTTACAGAAGTTTGTACTCAGAAGGGGGTGAGATGAGGAAGGAGGGAGGGAAGAGATCTAACAGAGATCTCAAGCTATCAGCAGTTCCTCTGTAACTAACAATAATTCTGGACTTCTATTCCAAAAACTCTGCATCAAGTCTATTAACCAACTGGGCAAAACATAAAGAGTGCCTAGATGTTTCTGGGAGGAGAGATCATGATGATAGTTTAGATCCAGAGACAATCCTGAGGAAAGCCAAGCAAGTATATGCCAGAGCACTCTGCCTGTTGGCTTCTAAAGTAGATCTGACAGATGCTGCTGGGCTACAGCAGTGCGATTCTTTTTTTTTTTTTTAGTGCGATTCTTAATATATTCTTTTAGGCGGGCTTTGAGCTTCATGCCACACAATCCTCTTCTTCCCAGAAGGCAGATCTGATGGAGCTCAGTCATTACTCTGCTCAAATGCTGACTGGCTTTGACATTTAAGCAAAGCTTCTACGGACCTTCCCGTCTCCCAGAACTTGAATCCATTCCATTTATTTTAAATAGAGGAGAGGCATTAAATTCAATATATTTGATTGGTTCTATTTTGCCACAAGGGGACAGAAGGCTCACGTGGTCAGAAGACTGAAATTACTAATTTCCACTTGTCATTATCATGGGCAATGAGAAAATGACCTTTCAAAAAAGGGAGGATCAGCTTCAGTCCCCAAATAGTTAATAAGCAGAAGGTCCCCAGAGACTAGCAAATCTCAGGGTCTTTCTTCTTTCTTAGTCCATCATGTGAGAAGAACTCACAATTTCCCGCCCAGAGGTCTCAATGAAAACAGCCCCTCCCCGAAGGTCTGCTTTTTAGCTACACCCTCTTACTGGTTACCAGTGCAGAGTCTGCAAAGTCCCACCCGCTCCACCACTGTACTACGATATTGACTAGCTCAACTCTAGAAAACTGCATTTCTGCAGCTGTGGATATGGTATTCCCTTCTTCTCTATGGCCTGTGTTCCAACTCCAGTAGCAGCTCACCCTAGATTTGAGTGACTACGGTGGAAAGAGATGCGGCTATGGATTTATGCTATGGGGGTGTAGGAATCTGCCACACAAGCATTTACTGGCTCCCCTGGACTGATCACAGTCATATATCATCTCTGCGAGCTACATTCCTCCAAGTCTCTTTGGACAGGTGGCTTTTATAGGTAAATCCCAACTCCAATGACTGCCTTATTTGTGAACTCATCACTCTACTAAGAGTTCCCTTCCTACCCTGCCTTCTTGGGGAAACATCTGTGTCTTTATCAATATTCATCTTCAAAACAAAGCAGAGAAGACAATCCTTCTGAACTTCTGTGTTCAGTTACCTATGCTACAGATACTTCATCTTATCTCTCTTGACAATCCTCACATTTAGGGCCACTAAATTTCAGTTTCGGCAGCAATTTCTAAATTGTTCCTGAACCACTCACTTTTATATTAAGCAGCCTTCCAGATCCACTTACTATAGAATACACTCTGAGAAGCATCCAACTTGCTCTGTTTTATACAACTCTTCTGGGACTTGAATAGAAGAATTAATTGTATATGAATGTTTGCCACCCTAGTCTCATTTAATCTATAACATACTGAAGTCCTCTTAATTCCTCCGTACCTATGGTTTTCTCTCCTACTCTTGAAATTATCCAATAAAATAATAAAATAAGGTACACACTGTCTGGCATACAGTATCTTTTTAATACATTTTAGTCCTTTTAACTCCTTGACTAACCTAACCTCTCAAGTGTATGATTTCTTTCCTTAAAAAAAAAAAATTCTTTCAAATGTTCTAAGGCTGAATTCCCTTCAAATGCTGCTGTGCTTTAGTCAGTCTTCCACAACAATGGGGGGCTATTTGTCTGTCTTTTACATTTGAATGAAGATGTTTATCTGCTCAGAACAAAGGAAACTGGTTAATTGTCTCAAATCGGCATAAATATGTTAATGCTAATTTAATAAGGCCCTTTTGAACACCCACTCAGAGGAGTGCTGCTACCTTGATGGCTCAGTGGTAAAAAAAAAAAAAAAAATTCACTTGCCAAGCAGGAGATGGGTTCAATCCCTAAGTCAGGAAGTTACCCTGGAGGAGGAAATGGCAACCCTCTCGTTTTCTTGCCTGGGAAATCCCATGGACAGAGGATCCTGGTGGGCTACATTCCATGGGGTCGCAAAATAGTTGGATATGACTTGGTAACTAAACAACAACAAATCTGAGCAGTGTTAAAAGTAGAAAGGGACAGCAGGAATTATATATGGGACATAGTGTCTGGCCCTCCAGAAGTTTACAATCCAATTACTGAACTAAAACAAACATATGAACCTGCTGAGAAATAACATAAGGCAGTAAAGCATAGCTATTTCCTGTTACCAGTCTCTCCTTCATGTGATCCATCCTGAATACTACTTTGTAGTCTAAATGTCACTCCACTCTCCCTGCTTAAAAACCTTACAGTATCTCCTTACAGTCACAATGAAGTATGAACTTGGCCTGGCCTTCAGGCCTCTACAATGTAGAGTTAAACATCTCTAACCTCATGGTCTGTGGTTTCTGGACAAATGAAACTTTTGCTTCATACAAAGTCTCCTTGTTCCCTGAACATATCATGTGCATTCCCTCTTTGTATATTTGCTCATGCAGTTTCCCCTACCTGATTTTAGCTCTCCTTTCCTCTGTTTTAAAAAACCCCACCTTCTACCTTTCAAAGCGCAGTTCAAGGTCATGTTGTGGGGCCTCTTCCATCAAGCATTCCCTGCCTACTTCAGTCCATGGAATTCTCTCCCTCCTCTTAACTTCTATAGTACACACAGTGTACAGCATCCTTATTTGATACTTAGCATAGATTATCTTGTTATATGCTCATCTACCTCTCTATATATCTGTGGCTACATTTTAGTCTTACATATCATTTTATTGTTTTACAGCCTTGGCATCTAGCACAAGGCTTTGCACAGAGTAGGAACCCTATAAATGTCTGTTAATGTGAATACTAAGGATGAATCAATAACACCTATTCCTAAGACAGGCTTCCAAGACTTCCCCTAGCACAGACACACTTTAAATCCCTCACATTTGACACCTTTGACTCTTTTTTGCTTCAAGAATTAGTGTGAGCCAATCACTTAAATTCAGATTACTCTTCCATTCCAACCCTCAGCAGTCCCATGTTTCAGAAGAAAAAAGCCCCATACTCACAGTGAACTTTATTTGGATTTGTCTGTTTCCGACGGGACATGTTTCCCTGATCCAAGAGCTCTGGCTTTTCCCAGTTTCACAACTGGATATTACCACCTCCTTGCAAGGTGCTGACCTACAAAAAAAAGGATAATGTTAGCATGTGTCATTCAGCCCAGAAACTATACATGATTAAAAGATAAAAGACTTTTTAAAATAGTTTTTGAGCATGTAAAACTCACCATTTGTAAATTACTGTACTACTTAAAAGAGTGAAATGAATAAATCTCTAGCATAACATTAAGGTCCCGAGAAGTTTGAGAGGGGACTCTAAAGGATTTAGAGAATTCTACTCTAAACCCACCTGTGGAATCCAGAATACTGTTAAGTAATCATGTTCAAGGTCACGGGGTAGAAAGGAAAGTGAAAAACTCAGGCAACCAGCATTAGACGCACTGTGGGCTCACCCCACAAATTGTGAAAGGAAGTAAAGAAAGCTCAAGACGGTGGCAGCTCACATGTCACATGCCCTCTGGAAGTCAAGCCCTGCAATCTGCACCAATGGGAGCCTCCAGATGTTTTTTCAAGAGGTTATCTCTCCTGGAGGGAACAAAGGCACCACAATCCTGCGAAACAGGAAATATCTCAAAACTCTTGGGCACCTGTCAATGAAAACATGTGGAGCAGAGCCTCTATCTAGTGATGCAGGCACAGTGCCAGGCACTGTGGATGACAGCGCACTAAAGCAAATCAGACTTCCAATGCTGAAGACGGGCTTTCACCAGAAGGGCTGGGTGCCATCCCCATTGTGGAGTACTAATTCAATACCCCAATGTGAAGCATCAGCCTGGCCCTGCTCACATGCTCCCAGGTGGTGGTCAAAGTTAATAACTTTAGTGCCTCTTCTCAATCCAGCCTCTGTGTAGCAAAGAGTGGGAAGAACAAAGAGAAAAAGTCCCCAAATGAGAAGTGTTGCAGAGACATGCACCTGCTTCCCTGAAATAGGAGGAAACAGATACTTACGCCTACAGTTCCTGGTTAGTTATAAGAAAGGCTTTCCCAGCATTAAGTGTTGTTAGAGAGTCTGAAATGGATTAGTACAGGAAGCTGTGAATTTTCTTTGAAAGACAGAGTGAATAAGCAGACATAGATTGAAACGAGAGATAGTCTCTTTCCTACCAAAGATAAGAATGTGGACCTGATCACCCTCTAACTTTTCTTTCAGTTCCTGCCTTCTCATATTGTACTCACACTGAATAAGCAAATATAAAATTGTAGTTTACTGCCTTAAGAGGCATTATGAGAGGTTACTTACTACCATCTATACTCTGCACTCAAGTCAGTGAAGACTGGCCTCCTGTTGTGCCAACTAACTCCTCTAAGTAGCCAGAAAGGACCTCAGACCTGTAATCAGATCCTGCCTCCCCTTACCAAAAGAAGAAAGAAACCGCAAATGGCAAAGACAGGCCTCCACAGGAAGTGGCAAAGGAAGCAGCTTTCAGGCAGTCTTCTATCATATCTGCATATCAAACACAGTTCTTTTTCAGACCTTTAATTAAAAAAAAAACAAAAAAAACTCCAAATGTATACAGTAAAAATCAATTTTAAGGTAGAATGCTGAGTGCTAATGCTAATGAAATGTGTCCTCTAAGTTTTGTCTTCGTAGACGATTTCTTTTTAATCAAGTAGTTACGTCATAAACTGAAGCAGTGAATGGATATTACACTTTGGGTCTTTTTCTATAAGTCTTGAATGAAATGCAGGTTGCCTATCATTTTTTTTTCCCCAAATCTGCAGAGCTATAGCTCTCTATTGTATAAGGAAGAAATGAAATCTTAACTAATATTTACATTTTCTTCCCATCGAGATCTGAAACTGAAACTATGAGATAAAGGCAATAAAGATCCTTCGAAAGAAGGCTAAATAATTTGAGACAGGCTATATTCAGATCACCTTGGTGAGGCAACAATACTAAATATTAAACAATACTAAAGCTACAAGTAGGAAACAGAGATCAGCATTTGCATATTTAAATCGCCAGTGTCCACTGCATCTCACAATCCTCCTAGTGGCCAAGTAGGGGAACCAACCAGATGGTACCCGATGGGACTGACTTTACACCTGAAGGATTAAAGGGAAAACAGAAGCAAATATTCTTACCTCCCTCAAAAGAAAAGAAAGCCTGTAGGGTTTTGGACTCTTAAAAATAAATGTTATTTAATTAATTAACAATTGAAAAAACGAGCACTGGAGGTACATTCTTGACTGCACAACAAGATCTGAGATTAGACAATTGTTTTACAGTAAACGCTAATAAAATCCATTGACACAGTGCCCTAAAGTTCACTAACTCAGTTTTACTTTCAACACTGACTCAGTTCCCAAGTCGTAATCCGAAACCCACACAAAAATGTAAATGGACAGCCTGAACATCACCATCTGGAAGAAAAAGAGGATGGGAAGAAAGGTAACCGGTGAGATTCAGGTTTACAAGGGATCCTATTTAAAAAGGGAGGCAGCTTTGTCCATCTTTAGAACAAGGTTAAGAATCCTTGGGAGGGGGGGCCAACAACTCCTCTTAACACTGTCCCTGATCTCTCACAGGTGTTAGGCTGCAGGTTCCAGGACACGCCACTGACTTCGGCAAGGAAAAAATGGGTGAAATCCAAGCTTTAAGAAAAGAAGGTTCACTCCCACCTCCAGATCTGGTGCAGTTCCCACGGAGCAAAGTAAACTCGCCTGAATCCCAGTGGTCTGTACCTGCCAGAAAGGAGAGGACAAGAAAGCTGGTCACGTAGCCGCCTCCCGGTTCACCCTGTTCCCGCTTCTGTTTGGTCCGGAGCTTGTGTATACTCAGCCGAGACGGTCCCTCTGACTTCCTGAGGCAGGAGCACAGGTAGATTCCCGGGAATTACCAGCCAAGAGCCAGAGGTCTTCCGAGGCGGCTCAGACAAACGCTCAGACAATACAGTCTTCTCAGAAATCTAAATTTAGAAGCCTTTCTGGAGACGGCGGCTCCGGACTGATACCCAGGTCTGCACCCTCACGCCCATCCTCTCCCTCCCCCAGCTTCAGCCCAGCCTGTCAGACGCCGGGGCCGTCCCGGCGGTGCCCGGCTGAGACCGACCTAGGCCCACGCGGGGAGGGCGGCGGCGCGGACACCCCTCCCGCGCCCGAGATCGCCAGAGGGACGGGAAAGAGGAACGGCCGCGGTGGGGAGTCAGCCGGGTCCCGCCGCGTCGCTGGAGCCGGGGGCAGGAGGAGGGTCAGAGCCAGGACGGCCCCCGCCCCCCAGGCCAGAGTGAGCCCCTGGCCCCTTCCCCAGACGCAGACTGACAAAAGGACCGACAGTCGGCGACCAAGGGAGGGGACGAGGAGCCCCTGCATCCTCAGCCTGGTCCCGGATGGAAAGAGTCGGGGGTCTTTTTACCCGGCGCCTCGGCGCTCCGCGGCGCTCCGGGTCCCTGGGCCCCGCCTCCGGACAGACAGACCGCCGGACAATGGGCCCCGGGCCGCAGCTCGGACCCGCCGGGCCGGGGCTCTCCGCGACTGGGCCCTGGCGGGCTGAGGGCAGCTCCGGGTCGTGCGGGTGGTGGGGAGCCGAGGGGCGGCGCTGCAGACGGACAAAGCCAAGAGCAGACAGACAGACTGAGGGGGAAAAGATGGCGACGCGGGTGGCGGGAGCGCGCTGCTCGCGCACCCGCAGCGAGTGGAGCGCGTGCACGAGTCTCTCCTCTCCCCCCCTCCCCCCTTCTTCAGCTTGGTCCCCCTCCCCGCTCCCCAGGCGCGCGCCGGAGGCATGGGCGGGGCTTATGGGGAGGGGGTCCGGGGAGGCGGGATCTAAGAGAGCATCCAATCACAGACATCCGAGAGGGGCCTCGTGTGCATCCTGGCGCTGCGGAGACCACCCAGCATCGCACTCTCCAAGGTCTTTCTCTGGTCCTGTCAGCTCCTCAGCTCCCCTTATCGTCTCCCGAACCTTTTAACTTCACCCTGACTGTCAGCTCTAATCCTGGTTTCCTTCCCCACCTTCGAGTTCAGCCACAAAACCCACATCCCCCAACCACAGTTCCACCACAGGCTCCCCTCTCCTTAGCCCAACCTTAGCCTCCCCGTTTCCCCAAACCCAAACCCTCTTCCCTTCCTTCCTCCACATCTCACGGTTTCTTTGGGCCCCTAAGGTATTAAATGTGACCGAGACCTAGGGGCCACGGACCACTGAGGGAGGGGCTAGGTTCAGCTGTCAGAAACTCGGAGGAGAAAAATCTTTTAATTCCGTTTAGACGTGTAAGTCTCGAACATGATTCTCGACTAATAACAGTAGCTGTACACTGGCGGCATAGGATTAATTCAGAGAAGGGTAACTTGTGGCATTGTTGCCACTTAAGGGACATTTGGGGCAATTGAGAGTGATTAGACTCATTTCCTAATAAAACACTTCTTTCCCCTCTCATCGTTCCCTTCTGTTTCCTCACCACTTCCTTACCTCTCATTCTGTCATCCCTCTCATTGTAGAATGCGTAAGTCTGCCTTTGACAAGGTTCACTTGCAGAAGTAGGGCATGCGGTGGAAAGAAGGTGGAATCTGATATTGGAAGATCCAGATTTGAGTGTGCTGCTTACAAGCCTGGTTACTTTGGGCAAGATCACTTCTCTATTTTGAACCCTTGCTTCCTAAAATGTGAAATGGATAACAGTGTAATAATTACTAGTCTCTACTGTTGTAGGGTTGGTGTGCTGATTAAGTAAAATAAATATATGAAAGCGTTATGCATGTATCCCGTATGATCACTGACCCCACAAAGATGAGGCTAAAGAGAATGCTAACCTTTGCTTATAAAGCAACAAGTCCTGGTATTTGCATAAAGCACTTTTGCAAAATGGCTTTTCCAGAAGTCTCTAAAGAGATGATATCATTGTCTCCATCTTGTGTTTAATGTGAGAGGATCTTGTTCCTTCACAATTCTTTGGTAAATGGCTTATTCATTCATTGTGGCTGAGATTTGAGGTAGAAATTATTATTCTTGAATGGCAGTTAAATTTCATTTTAAAATAAAAATTTAAAATGTTCATTTCTGGGTAGGTAACCAGAAAATGGAATATTCTTATCCAACCAGAAGGTTTCTAGATAGTGTAAGAATGTGAGCTGGAATAAACACTGGCTTTTGTACTTAACAGTAATTATTGATGAGTTTAGTCTGAGGGATACAAATATGACTGTATATGTCACTTTAAAATTGACATAGTTGACATTTTCAACATGAAAATAGCTAGCAGGTAGAGCATTAGGAAAGAGCCTCCAGGGAAATTTCTTGGCTTCATCAAATAATAGTGTGTAATACTGGGTGGTTGGTTTCATCTACTTGAACTGCAAGTAAAATAGAGTCATAATAATGCTATTTTTAAAACCTTCATGTACCCTAGAAATGGGCTTACCTGGTGGCTCAGACAGTAAAGAATCCACCTGCGTTGCAGGAGACATGGATTCAATCCCTAGCTTGGGAAGATCCCCTGAAGAAGAAAATGGCAACCCACTCCAGTATTCTTGCCTCAGAATCCCATGGACAGAGAAGCCTGGTGGGCTGTAGTTCCATGGGATCACAAAGAGTCAGACACAACTGAGCAACTAATACACACACACACACACACACACACATACAGACACATATACACACATACAGCCTAGAAATTCCTCTGAGGTGTTATGATTCAGGGTCATAGTCAAATAAGGGAAAAATTATTAAATAAGAAATTAGTTTATTTTTTCTCTGCTCTCACCTAAACATGTTCTGGATCTAGAAGACTTTACCATTAATCTTGGGTTTTATTTCAGCTTCATTTTTTACTTTTACTTTCCCAGTCTACTTATGAACTAATGCTATTATTTTGCCACTTTAACTGTATTAACTTTCCCTTGAAATATCCTCTGGTTTATATTTATTGGCTCCTGCAAAAACCTTGTTAGGGCTTTACATTACAACAATATTGGTAGGATAACTTAAAGAATTTCATTAAAAAATTTATTATGATTTATAATTTATAATTCACATACCATGAAATTCACCCTTTTAAAGTAAAGCTCAGTGGATTTTAGTATGTTCACAAGGTTGTGAAACATCACAAGTATTTAATTCCAAAACATTTCATCACCTTGAACAGAAACCCCAGACAGTTGTCAATCCCTCTTTTTCCTCCTTCCAGCCTCCTTCAATCACTAATCTTTGGGTCTCTATGGATTTACCTATTCTGAACATTTCACATAAATGGAATATACAACAATGGGCCTTTGTGGCTGGCTCCTCTCACTTAGCATGAAGTTTTCAAGGTTCGCCCATGTTGCTATGTGTGCGCCAGTACTTCATTCCTTTTTATGGCCAAATAATATTCCAATGTATGGATATACCACATTTACCTCCATTCATCAGTTGATAGATATTTGTGTTGTTTCCACTTTTTGGCTCTTCTGAATAATGTTGCTGTGAACACTTGTGTACAATTTTTATGTGATCATATGTTTTCAGTTCTCTCAAGTGTACACCTAGGAGTGAAATTGTTGGTTCATATGGTAACTCTGTGTTTAACATTTTGAGGAACTGTCAAACTTTTGCCCAAAGAGCCTGTATCATTTTACATTCCTACCAGTGATGAACGAGAGTTCCAATTTCTTCATGCCCTCTGCTATACTCGTTAATGTTTGTCTTGTTCGTTATAGACATTGTAAGACAGTGAAGTGATATCTCACTGTGGTTTTGATTTGCATTTTCCTGATGACTAAGAATGTTGAACATCTTCTTGGGCTTATTATTAACAATTTGGAGAATGTCTTCACAAATGCATTGTGCATTTTTGAGTTCAGTTATTTGCCTTTTTATTGTTGTTTTATAAGTGCTTTTTAAAAAATATTCTGGATACTAGACTATTATAGCATATGTGATTTGCAAAAATTTTTTTCTATTCTGTAGGTTGTCTTTTCAATTTCTTGATAATGTCCTTTGAAGCACCAAAGTTCTATTTTTCCTTTTGTTTGCCTTTGACTTAGGTGTCACATCTAAGAAACTATCTCCTAGTCCTTAATCATGAAGATTTCCATGTATATTTTGTTCTAAGAATTTTATAGTTTCAGCTCTTATATTTTACTCCTTGATTAATTTTGAGTTAATTTTTGTATAGGTATTAGGCAGGAATGTTCAACTTTATTCTTTTCTATGCATTATCTAGTTTTCTCAGCACTGTTTGTTGCAATGTCTGTTCTTTCCCCATTGAACTCTCTTGTTATCCCTGTTCAGAATCAGGTGACCATAAATATATTGATTTATTTCTAGATTTTCAGTTCTATTTTATTGTCCTATATGTCTATCCTTATGCAGATCCATACAATCTTGATAAGAACCTCATATTTTAAGGAGATGGAGTTTACATTTAGAATATAGAGTTATAAGTTTTCATGTCTTTGAATTCATTTAAGGAAAAATTAAGTTTTATAGGATGATTGCAATCAGGATAGATGTCATGAAAAGAATCTGATTTGAGAATTCCTTTGAGCTGATATGTGAACTCAAATGAGAGTTTATAATTGTGATTTAATGCATTTTTCTTTTTTGATAAACTCATTATACACAAATTGAAAGTAAAAGGAGGATGCAAATTATTATGGAAATGTGGACCTATGAAAATTATATCATGTCAAGGCTCAGGATCTGGGATCAAGATCTGATCCTGGCACTTAATGCTGTTGATTTTGGATTGCTCACTTTACAGGTCTAAGCTTCACTTTCCTCTTATAAAAATTAATAGACATTTCTGACCTACAGTTCCTTCACAAGAATGTTGTGAGCCTCAGACTGAGTTAATGTGCTTGTAAGTACCCTATAAACTGCAAAATGCCATGGATATTTAATATCTATATATAGCCCAAATTATTGATGTTCATAAGTTCTCTGAGGAGTCATTTCCTAAGTGCTCTAAAACATGCTCTAGACCTTATTAGGAAGATATCCAGAGTGGTTTCTATTTCACTTTACAATTTTTAGCCTAAAAACTTTCTGAGACTTGTGCCTTTGTAAATGTTAGTCCTTAGGAAAAAAAAAAAGCAAATTACCATGTTGCTTCAGTCATGCCCAACTCTTTGTGACCCTGTGGACTGTAGCCCACCAGGCTCCTCTGTCCATGGGATTCTCCAGGCAAGAATACTGGAATGGGTTGTTCTGCCCTCCTCCAGGGGATCTTCCCGACCCAGGGATGGAACTCGGGTCTCCTGTGTCAGGGTCTTTACCACTAGTGCCCCTGGGAAGCCCTTCTTCTGTTGTGTGTGAAAGTTGCTCAGTCATGTCCGACTCTTCGCAACCCCACGGACTGTACAGTCCATGGAATTCTCCAGGCCAGGATACTGGAGCAGGTATCCATTCCCTTCTCCAGGGGATCTTCCTAACCCAGGGATCAAACCCAGGTCTCCTGCATTACAGGTGGATTCTTTACCAGCTGAGCCACCAGGGAAGCCCCAGAACTCAGCAAAATTTTTTTGTAAAGTTTACAAATAGGCTTTGTGGGCAATATAAGGGTTCTGTCACATATTATCCCGCCCCCCCTTTTTTTAAAGATTTATTTATTTATTTATGCCTGTGCTTGGACTCTGTTGCTTTGTGCAGGCTTTCTCCAGTTGCAGGGAGCGGGGGCTGCTCTTCATTTCAGTGCACAGGCTTCTCCTTGTGGCTTCTCTTATTGCAGAGCATGGGCTCTAGGGTGCAGGCGTAGCTCCTGGGCTCTAGAAGACAGGTTCAATAGTTGTGGCTGCTCCTGCTGCTGCTGTTAAGTCGCTTCAGTCGTGTCTGACTGTGCAACCCCACCAGGCTCCCCTGTCCCTGGGATTCTCCAGGCAAGAACACTGGAGTGGGTTGCCATTTCCTTCTCCAGTGCATGAAAGTGAAAAGTGAAAGTGAAGTCGCTCAGTCGTGTCCGACTCTTAGCAACCCCATGGACTACAGCCCACCAGGCTCCTTCGTCCATGGGATTTTCCAGGCAAGAGTACTGAAGTGTGGTGCCATTGCCTTCTCCCCAATAGTTGTGGAGAATGAGTTTAGTTGCCTAGCTGCATGTGGCATCTTTCTGGATCAAGTATTGAACTCATGTCCCCTGCACTAGCAGGCAAATTCTCAACCACTGGACAGAGAGGGAAGTCCTGTTCCCCCTCCCCCCCCCACAGTCTCTTAACACTGTAAAACCATTCTTAGCTGGAAGGGCTGTACAAAAACAGGCCTGATATTTTGTCTTACAAGCTTGTAAGACTCTTCAAGTACTATATCAACTATATCAAGTTTTAGTTACAGCCACTAGTTATAATATATACATAAAATAGAATTACTGGTTAGTTAACCAAAGAAATGTTATGTGTTAATTTTTATCCTAACAGCAAAGCAGGATTTTCAAGTGAAACAGTGTGAGTCATTTTGGTTTTTTGGATTATGTTTAGCTTTGATCAACACTGGCCTAGTCCGCCAGGGATAGAGATACTGTTTTGAATAATTGGCAGGTGTGGCACAATTCACATTGATATATTATAGGACCTAAATAATTAGACAGGACAGGACACAGGTGATAATTGCTGAATCCAAGAAATTGCTGAGTTAGAAGCAATTTTTCTAATAATATCATTTTTTAGCAAGACAGTGACTTGATGACACTTTTCACTCATCTTTACTGTTATGGTTTGTTCAAGGGTGCAATAATGTCAAGGATTCCAAAAGTTATGTAAACACACTATTACTGATGGTATGGGGAAATAGAAACTCTCAACATATTGGTGGTGATGGTGTAAATTGACACTTCCTCTTTGTACTGTGATTTGGCAATATCTATCAGCATTAAAAATATACCTACACTTTGACCCAGTTCTTCTGCTTCTGGGAATTTACCCAATTTGTACAATCCACACAAGCAGATATTTAGGCATTGCAGCATTGTTTATACAGGCAAAATATTAGAAATAATGTAAACACCCATCAATAGAGCAGTGCTTAAAATATATGGTTCACATACAATGGAATATTATGCAGCTCTTTAAAAGAATCAGAATTATTGATAACTGCTGCTATGGTACAATCTCTGAGATATGTACCTTAAAGCAAGCTATAGTACTAAACAAGTTACAGTATGAGGTCAGCTCTCTATACCTAAGAGTTCTTCATCCATGGTGCCAATCAACCTTGGCTTGAAACAATTGTGAAGAAAAATTGCAGAAAGTATCAAAAAGCAAAAATTGAGTTTTCAGCTCACTGGCAACTATTTACATAGAATTTACATTGTACTGGGTATCACAAGTAAATCTAGAGATGATTTGGAGTAGATTGGAGGACTGTGGGAGGCTTCCCTGGTGACTCAGTGGTAAAGAACCCACCTGCAGTGTGAGAGAGACACAGGTTTGATCCCCGGGTTGAGAAGATTCCCTGGAGCAGGAAGTGGCAACCCGCTCAGGTATTCCTATCTCAAGAATCCCATGGACAGAAGAGCCTGGCAGGCTACAGTCCGTGGACTTGCAAAGTCAGATGTGACTGAGCATGTGTGCATGGAGGATCATAGGTGGTATGTGAAAATATTAATACTACAGCACTTTATGCAAGGGTCTTGAGATTTTGGTATTCTTGAGGTTCCTGGAACCAATCCACTGATACCGAGGGACAACTATAGAATGTATGGTATGCTATTACATGTTTAAAAACAAAAGTCATATTTATGTATATGGCCTTACAGATAGTATCACTGGAAGGACTTCAATAGCATTAATATTGTCAGACACTATTCTAAGAGCTGTTTATAACTGACACATTTAATTCTCATAACAACTTTATTAATGTAGGTGATATTATTCCCATTTTACATATGAAGAACCTGAAGCATAGAGAGATTAAGTAACTTGCTCAAAGGCACAAGAATCCGGAGAAGGCAATGGCAAGCCACTCCAGTACTCTTGCCTGGAAAATCCCATGGACGGAGGAGCCTGGTGGGCTGCAGTCCATGGGGTCGCAAAAAAAAAAAAAAAAAAGGGCACAAGAATCTGGTAACAATGGTTACTTCTAGAGTCAGGAGACTCAAGGACCAAGGGTCAGAGAGACTTAATTTTTGCTGTCCATCTTTTTCAGCTGTGTGTGTGTGTGTGGTTTGCCATGTTTATGCATTATTTAAAAAATTATTTTTAAATTAAAATAGGAAAATGGTAAAAAGACTCTCATGAGTGCTGTTTATAAGACAATCTTACTCATTTTCAAAGATGTGCCAATTAACATAACTTCCTGGCTTCCAAAGGATGAAAAAGGTTGATAATGCCTGCAGTTGGAGAGGAGGAGAAGCTGGACCCTAGGTAGATAAAGTCATGGAACCTTTTTGGAGAGCAGTCTGGCACTGAGTTATGCTAGATTGCATGTGCTGCCATAACAAAGTGCCACAAACTGGGTGCTTTAAACAGCCATTTATTGTCTCATAGTTCTGGAGGCTGGATGGTCTAGATCAGACTGTTAGTAGGATTAGATCCTTTTGAGGGCTGTGAGGAAGAAACTGTTCAAGGCCTCTCTCCTAGCTTCTGGTGGTTTGCTGGCCATCCTGGGTGTTGCTCCATGCATAGACTCTTCTGCCAGTCTCTGCTTTCATCTTCACGTGGTTTTCTTCCCATACATGTGTCTGTCTCCACATTTTACCCTTCTTTAGAGGTCATAAGTCATATTGGATTAGGGCCCACCCTAATGAACTCGTTTTAACTTGACCACCTCTATGAAGACCCTATCTCCACGTAAAGTCACATTTTGAGATACTGAGGGTTAGAACTTCAACACATGTATTGGTGGGGAGACATAATTCAACCCATAAGTAACATGGGTATCCAAATTTAAAACATGCATACTCTCTAACCTTGCAATGCCACTTATGGGACTGCGTCCTTAAGAAATAATCTGGTGCTCGCTTCGGCAGCACATATACTAAAATTGGAACTATACAGAGATTAGCATGGCCCCTGTGCAAGGATGATAGGCAAACTTGTGAAGCGTTCCATATTTTTAAAAACTGGCCAGAGCTTGTTTAAAAAAAAAAAGAAATAACCTCAAAGTATGCATAGATATTTTTAGAAGGATATCCATAATGGCATCTATTGGAACGTTGGAATCTACTGAAATAGCAGTAAAAGATTGGCTAAATAATGATACACCTGCTTCTGTTGTTAAAGATAATATGGATTGATATGCATTGATATAAAAAGATATGCAGAATATATTAAGTATAAAAAGCAGGTTTACTTAATACTGTGTCATAACTTAAATGGGAAAGAATTTGAAAAAGAATAGATACATGTATATGTATGGCTCAATCACTTTGCTGTACAGTTGAAGCTAATACAACATGGTTAATCAACTATGTGTGTGCTTAGTCGCTCAGTCATGTCCAACTCTTTGCGACCCCAGGGACTGTAGCCCGCCAGGCTCCTCTGTCTGTGGGATTTTCCAGACAAGAATCCTGGGGCAGGTTGCCATTTCCTACTCCAGGGGATCTTCCTGACCCAGGATTTGAACCCGGATTTCCTGCACTGGCAGGCATCCTTGACCACTGCGGCACCTAAGAAGCCCTCTAATCAACTATACTCCAATATAAAATAAAAAGTTAAAGAAAGGTGATTTCAAGTACTTTAGAACCTTGCATATCAATCCAGTAAGGAATAAAGATCTTTCCAACTTAAAAATAAAAGCAAGTTGGCTGAAGAAGTGAAGTGAAAGTTGCTCAGTGGTGTCCGACTCTGCAACCCCATAGACTGTATACAGTCCATGGAATTCTCCAGGCCAGAATACGGGAGTGGGTAGCCTTTCCTTTCTCCAGGGGATCTTCCCAATGCAGGGATCGAACATAGGTTTCCCACAATGCAGGCTGATTCTTTATCAGCTGAGCCACAAGGGAAGCCCAAGTGTACTGAATATGGACTGTATATTGTTATCCTATTTGTGTTAAATTTTAAATAAATAAAATTTTGGAATAATAATAGTCCAAAAACTAACAATGGCATGGAGAGTGTGCATAGGCCTTTCAGTTTACTTTACATATATATTCTCAAACTAGTAAAACAATAAACATATTTCTGTCCTTAAAAAATGGAGTATTGAAATTAGTCCATTTTATTCAGTTTTTAAACTAAATGCAGAACAGAATCAGAATATACTTGGGCTTCCCTGGTGGTCCAGTGGTTAAGACTGGGTGCAGTTTCAATCCCTGGTTGGGGAACTAAGGTCCCCACATACCATGTGGCACATCCAAATATATATATATGTGTGTGTGTGTTACATACATATATGTATATTTATATATATACTTATTGCTGAGATCTTAGCTTAGTCTGGTAGTTTCTGGGGGAAAACCTAATAATTCCCATTAAGACATATAATAGCCTGGTTGTGCACACACAATTTGTTTTCTGAACTATATGAAAGTTAAGTTGTAGATACCATGATCCTTCAGTTCTACACAGTTCAGCACATATCTTCTAAGAATAAGGGCATTCTCCACTCAGTGATGCGATTATACCAAGGAAAATTAACAATAATTCCATAATATCTAATATCTAATACATATTCAAATTTCCCAAGTTGTTTCCCCAAATATGTATTCTTTTTTTCTAATCTGGATCCAACTGAACTTTATGCATTTCATTTGGTTATTGTATCTCTTAGCCCTCTTTCTGTAAAGTCAGTTTTCTTGTAGATGCCACATTTTCCATTTAATTCACTAGTATATTATTTAATTCTCTCCCATGACACAGATGTCATTTGAAAATTTTTACAATGAACATTTTTTATTGTGGTAAAATACACATAAAACCTACCATTTTAACAATTTTTAGTTGTACAGTTCAGTGGCATTAAGTACATTCACTGTTGTGTAACCATCACCACCATCCATCACCAGAATGGTTTCATCGTCCCAAACTGAAATTCTGTACTCATTAAACAGTAACTCACCACTCTCCCTTCCCACACCATTCTACCTTCGTCTTGAGCCGACCTCTTTAAATTCCTCAAATAACTGGAATCCTGCAGTCTTGACTCTTTGTGAGTCCACGAACTGTAGCCTGCCAGGCTCTTCTGGAGTGGGTAGCCATTCCTTTCTCCAGGGGAACTTCCCAACCCAGGGATCTGACTCATGTCTCCTGCATTGCAGGCAGATTCTTTACCGTTCAGCCACCAGGGAAGCCCATAAAAGACTATAAATTGGTTTCAAGCTATCTAAACAAGGTCCATGTAACATGTGGCTGCTGTGTTTCTAAGCCTTTTTAGATCCGAGCAATTTGCTCCCCCCTTTTTTTAGACTCTATTGCTTTATTGCAGAATGGACTCAATTCATATATGCATGCATTTATCAACAACAAAAATCCATGCATTTTAAAAGAACCACGCACTGTATATTAAGGTTCTGAAAGCTGCTTCTAATTTAGAAATACTGGAAGTAGTTACAGAGACACATTACTTATAAGTTCATATGAACCTCATATGGTTACTCTTAGTTCCAGCTTTGTCAGATCACCTCATCACAATTTAGCAAACCACAATTTTGGTCTAGGTAGATGCACCCAGTACAGCAGGGGGCAGGATTACCTCCTAGAAGCCAAGTGCTTAGGAAACCGCTTCTAACGTTAATCAGAGAGAATGGTTTTCAAGTTAAGCACAAAGATAACTAAAAGAAAAAGTTTTTCTGAATACAGAGATAAGGTAAATTCCCAGAGAATGTGCTGCTAAGGAAACATCTTATTTAAATAAAAGACTGTCGGTACAGAAATATAGATCAATGGAACAGAATAGAAAGCCCAGAGATAAATCCACGAACCTATGGTCACCTTATCTTTGACAAAGGAGGCAAGGATATACAATGGAAAAAAGACAACCTCTTTAACAAGTGGTGCTGGGAAAACTGGTCAACCACCTGTAAAAGAATGAAACTAGAACACTTTCTAACACCATACACAAAAATAAACTCAAAATGGATTAAAGATCTAAATGTAAGACCAGAAACTATAAAACTCCTAGAGGAGAACATAGGCAAAACACTCTCTGACATAAATCACAGCAGGATCCTCTATGACCCACATCCCAGAATTTTAGAAATAAAAGCAAAAATAAACAAATGGGACCTAATGAAACTTAAAAGCTTTTGCACAACAAAGGAAACTATAAGCAAGGTGAAAAGACAGCCCTCAGATTGGGAGAAAATAATAGCAAACGAAGCAACAGACAAAGGATTAATCTCAAAAATATACAAGCAACTCCTCCAGCTCAACTCCAGAAAAATAAATGACCCAATCAAAAAATGGGCCAAAGAACTGAACAGACATTTCTCCAAGGAAGACATACAGATGGCTAACAAACACATGAAAAGATGCTCAACATCACTCATTATCAGAGAAATGCAAATCAAAACCACAATGAGGTACCATTACACACCAGTCAGGATGGCTGCTATCCAAAAGTCTACAAGCAATAAATGCTGGAGAGGGTGTGGAGAAAAGGGAACCCTCTTACACTGTTGGTGGGAATGCAAACTAGTACAGCCACTATGGAAAACAGTGTGGAGATTTCTTAAAAAGCTGGAAATAGAACTGCCATATGACCCAGCAATCCCACTTCTGGGCATACACACCGAGGAAACCAGATCTGAAAGAGACACGTGCACCCCAATGTTCATCGCAGCACTGTTTATAATAGCCAGGACATGGAAGCAACCTAGATGCCCATCAGCAGACGAATGGATGAGGAAGCTGTGGTACATATACACCATGGAATATTACTCAGCCATTAAAAAGAATTCATTTGAATCAGTTCTAATGAGAGGGATGAAACTGGAGCCCATTATACAGAGCGAAGTAAGCCAGAAAGATAAAGACCATTACAGTATACGAACACATATATATGGAATTTAGAAAGATGGTAACGATAACCCTATATGCAAAACAGAAAAAGAGACTCCTATGTATAGAACAGACTTGTGGACTCTGGGAGAAGGCGAGGGTGGGATGTTTCAAGAGAACAGCATCGAAATATGTATATTATCTAGGGTGAAACAGATCACCAGCCCAGGTTGGGTGCATGAGACAAGTGCTCGGGCCTGGTGCACTGGGAAGACCCAGAGGGATTGGGTGGAGAGGGAGGTGGGAGGGGGGGACCGGGATGGGGAATACATGTAAATCCATGGCTAATTCATTTCAATGTATGACAAAAACCACTACAATGATGTAAAGTAATTAGCCTCCAACTAATAAAAATAAATGAAAAAAAAAAAAAAAAAAGACTGTCGGTATTCTGTTTGAAAGAGCAATCAGACTGGGTTTAAAAGCGGGGCAGGAGTATCAAAGTGGGTAGGAGAGGGGGTGGACGACTAAGGAGGGCGAAGAGCCGGAAAAAGAGTCGTCAGCTGCCAGAGAAGAGTGGAAACCTGCTTAGCAGGTCATTTAACGAAATGAACCAAGACGCAGGAGGAATGTCCCCGTGGCGAGGGAAGTCGAGTGAGGGACGACAGCAGGAGACTTAACTCTGGAGTTTGGAAGGCCGTGCTGAAGCCGGTTTTTCCACGGACTGGAACAATCCCGAACAAGGTACTGGGCGCGGACTCGGAAACAAGCCTCAGCTGCCGGCCTCCCCACGCCCAGGGAGTGACAAGCGAAACCCAGGGCGCGCCCCAGCAGGTGATTCTGAAGGCGTGACGAGTCTGCGTTCTCCTTCCGTGCCTCCGCCGCGGGAAGTAGTCCCCGGCTGCGCCGGCTCCGTAGAAATCTGGGCCGGGGAGCCCTGAGGCCCTCAGGGCATGAGTCCCAGGAGCGGCGGACGCGCAGCCAATCCCTGGAAAGAAGGCGTGGCTAACTCGGTCCCGCGGATCCCTCCGCCTGTGCTCGATGTGCTGAGGCAGAGAGAGCCGCCATTTTGGATGCTGAGTCTTGGTTTCCAAGTGCGTCTCTACCGTTTTCACGTCCGGATTTGGCCAGGTGAGTGGGCTTTTTCAGGGTCGTGCGTCTTTGTTTTCTTCCCCACACTGCGTTTCGGGTTTAGAAGTCCCTAGCCCGGGATTTGGACGACTCTGAGGTGGAAGGTGAGGAGAAACAGAATGATCCTGGGTTAGGCCGGAGGTCGGGCCGGAGGGGCTGCGGCGCGGAAGGCCGCCGAAGGCCAGGCTCGGGGGCGTGGCAGGGCCGCGAGCAGCTTGGAGACCGCTAGTCGTGGATACAGGACACCACCAAACTTTCTTGTCCCTGCTTCGAGCCGTCTCTACCCCGGGGTGGAACTGCCGCGGCCTGGGCTTTGGCACCCGACGCGGACAGGGCCGGGCCGGCGCTCTCGGCCACTCCCCTCACCCCATCTCTTCTGGCCCAGAGAGACTTCGGTTTGGTTGTGTCCCTGGTGCCCGGGGGAGTCCGCGTCCGAGCCGGGCAGCCTCCCCTGGGCGGCGCGGCCTGGAAAAATTGCCTTTTTCTTTAGCGGAAGCAAAACGCGACCTTTGACGCCTTTCGCCGAGCCCTTCTTGTCTGATGAGCGGTCTTTTGAGGAGCCTGTGGTCCTGTTCTTGCGCCCCTCCTCTTTCAGTTCTCATTGCTCCCCTTCAGCGGTGGCTGCAGGTGAGAGGACTGGAAACTCGACCTGCATAAGGTTTTAGAAGGATCGGGACCCAAGAGCGCCTGTTTAATAATTAGGTAATAGGAAAGAGAGTCACTTTCACTCTTTGTAGCAGTAAAGTTGGAATTAAGAGTTGGTCATAGTTTTTCTATTATGCTAGCGTATTCATTATTTTTTAAAACTTTTTATTATGAAAATTTAAAGCAAAGGTAAAGACTAATGAATTCCACCCAGCTTCTTCAACGATTATTTTCTGGCCAATCTTGTTTCGTTTATTCCCCCATTATGTATTCGTTTAGTAAAGTAATAGTTAATATATGTGTCGTCGTCGCCCCCCCAACCCCCACGCCGCGCAAATAGTAGCCTTTTTGACTTCTGTACTTAGGAGAAATTTCCACCGGAAATTTTGTTTTTACAGCTTTCTTGGAACCCCATCTTCTGGGATAGGAGGACTTAGTAATATCCTTTTATTCGAGGATAAAAGATTGTTTTGAAACCTTGATGTTAGTATTACATTTTAAAGTCACCCAGTTTCCTGAGTCTTCTCATTTTTAAAGTAGTGTTATTGTTCTGTCCAGATTGTTTTCGTTCTTCCTGTTTTCCTTTGCCTCTGGAATCTCAATGATTGGGAGCCCTGGAATCCCTGACTGTATATAATAATCTACTTAATTTAAGCTTTCATTCCTTTAAAATAATTTCCCTGGTAATTCAGCTGGTAAAAGAATCCGCCTGCAATTCAGGAGACCCCACTTCAATTCCTGGTCAGAAGATGCGCTGGAGAAGGGACAGGCCACCCACTCAAGTTTTCTTGGTCTTCCCTAGTGCCTCAGCTGATAAAGAATCCGCCTGTGATGTGGGAGACCTGGGTTCAGTCCCTGGGTTGGGAAGATACCCTGGAGAAGGGAAAGGCTACCCACTCCAGTATTCTGGCCTGGAGATTTCCATAGCTGTGTAGTCCGTGGGGTTTCAGAGAGTCTGACAGGACTGAGCGAATTGCACTTTTCCTTTAAAATCACAATTAAATCACAGCAGGATCCTCTATGACCCACATCCCAGAATTTTAGAAATAAAAGCAAAAATAAACAAATGGGACCTAATGAAACTTAAAAGCTTTTGCACAACAAAGGAAACTATAAGCAAGGTGAAAAGACAGCCCTCAGATTGGGAGAAAATAATAGCAAACGAAGCAACAGACAAAGGATTAATCTCAAAAATATACAAGCAACTCCTCCAGCTCAACTCCAGAAAAATAAATGACCCAATCAAAAAATGGGCCAAAGAACTGAACAGACATTTCTCCAAGGAAGACATACAGATGGCTAACAAACACATGAAAAGATGCTCAACATCACTCATTATCAGAGAAATGCAAATCAAAACCACAATGAGGTACCATTACACACCAGTCAGGATGGCTGCTATCCAAAAGTCTACAAGCAATAAATGCTGGAGAGGGTGTGGAGAAAAGGGAACCCTCTTACACTGTTGGTGGGAATGCAAACTAGTACAGCCACTATGGAAAACAGTGTGGAGATTTCTTAAAAAGCTGGAAATAGAACTGCCATATGACCCAGCAATCCCACTTCTGGGCATACACACCGAGGAAACCAGA